AGGACAATTTTTTACAAGTAATTATTGTCAGTGTACGGTCAGCCTTAACGTGGTTGGCAACAGTAACTTGACAGTAACAGAATGACTCCCAATGACCGGTTTTATTACATGAAAAAGCCGACCGTATTTAGTTCAATTTGCGCAGACGTGCCTTTTTAACCGACTTCAAAAAGGAGGAGGCTCTTCATTTACATTATCAACATCTTTTTATGGGGGGGAAAGGGATTGTTATTAATGGGGACTAGCTGACCCTTTGCCAGCAATACACCCTATCAGATCGACCTACACACGGTTCCCCCTGGAAACTATCGCGGTTAATTCTGGTGGAATTCGTCACGATGGGCTAACTGACCTGCTTTAATCGTCACCTATCATTCCTTACTGGTGCCCAGGCGGCATAGCGCAGGCGGGGTTACTATTTCATTATCACTTATTAAAAAAACTATTTTGAAGATATTTGAATATTTTTTTTTTGTTTTTTTTTTAATCTACGTTTCATTTGGGATTTTTATTTTTTAACATGTCAATCCCATAAAATCTAATCAATTTATCTATTATTATAATTATGACTAAACAATACTACTTACTAATTCACTTAAGCACAAAGCAATTTTGTTAGTAGGAGCATGCATTATGCTCTGAACAATCTCCACATCAAATTTATTAATATTAAATATATTATTAATTAAAAATTTATTAATATTAAACTTTTTGTTAAATAGAATGGTTATACCCCCTTCTTATTTCCATATCATACCTTTAGAGGTGACTTTGGTTTTTTGTCAATTAATGTGATTAATTAAATTGAAAGCTTAACAAACAGATTTTATTGGCAAAAGAATTGACAAATATATTTACAGATATACATAATTTTATAAGTACAAAAAGATATTTCTATACAAAGACTTTGTGTAATTAAGCCGATTTATAAAAAAAAAAAGTTGTTATTTATTAATATTTTATAATTTGGGTGTCTGTAAGAGATGGCTTTTAACGATAAGGCCGCCTTTTGTATATGCACATTCTGTATAAATACTCCTTGTATACATCTCTACTGTGCGCAATAAAGAGTTTATTTTTATTATTATTATTAAGGTCTTTATCATTAAATATCTAAATTTTTAAAAGCATTTTATACAAAAAAAAAATTATATAAGTGACATTATTCAATATCCTAATTTGTTATTATCTATCTAATCAACACAATTATGTTAATATGGCAGATTCTGGAGGCTTCTTAGATTTACGAGTGTAATGTTAATCAATGAATATCAAATTATAAAGTGACTACTTTCGAAAAACTTTCAAAAAAATTAAAATTCCAAACTGATTGTATTTCTTTTTTTTGTAATCGATACAGCTATAGATTGTTTTAACTTTGTATGGCCTGGCTTAGAATAGGCTACCCCTTCCTTTCCCGTAGGTTGTCTTAAAAGGCGACAAAGGGGACGAGCAGTATTGACCCTCTTAAAACATCACCAAAGCCTAACCACAGATGCTAGGAGGGAAAGGGATTATTAGTAATGGAGACTGAGAATCTTATTGCTAACATATATTGTTAGCAATGAGATTCCCAAACAGGTCGACCTCCTCGCGGTTCCCCCTGAAAACTGTCATGGTTAATTCTTGATGAATTCATCATGATGGGCTAACTGGTCTGTTTTCATTCTCATCTATCACCCTTCACTGGTGCTCCGCCAGCGTATTCCGTTAGCGCAAGCGGGGTTACCATTCCATTTTCACCCATAAAAAACAAAACTACGGATGCTAACCCGCCTGTCAAGGGGGAAAGAGATCGTTAGCAATGGAATTTGATAACCCCATTGCTAACAATATGCCCTATTAGATCGCCCTCCACGTGGTTCCCCTTGGAAACCATTGTGAACAATTGTTATTGAATTCGTCACGATGGGCTAATTGACCTGCTTCATCCCCGCCTATCATCCTTCACTAGCGCTCTGCCGTCAGCAGGGGCGCTAGCGCGGGTGGGGCTATCATACCACCAAAACTACCTGTCAAGCGTGGCAACTATTGGCAAGCCCCCCAACAGAAGGACGCCTCCAGTATCCTCCTCCAGTCTCCACTTTCGCCAGTGGCCAATTAACGGTTTTTTTATTGATAAGATGATGATTATGAAGTGAAAGTTTACATTTATAGCTTATAATTATAGTCATAAATTGAAAACGGTGTCATTCATAAATTAAGGGCATATAGCACATCTTACTCTATGGCAAAAATTGGTAGATTTACTACCAACTTTTGCCATAGAGCCCTAGAGCCATAGAGCCCAGCCAAGTCTCCCTAGCACCAGAGGAGACTTTGTACAAAAGTCGATTGCTTGGGTACCTCTGTCCCATTCGTGTTTCAACCGTGAAGCAGTTGTGTTTGCATAGCTGTGTTTCGGTTTGAAGGGTGGGATATGGCGTGAATTTACTGGGTATAGACGAATAACACCTGAGTCCTCAGGAATGGCAACGCATAGTGGGTATCATGGGCGAAACAGTATACTCTGTTATGTCCATGGTACTGCTCATGTCTATAGGCGACGGTTACCATTTTCCATCAGGTGGGCCGTCAGCTTGTTTGCCATTCTAAGTTGTATAAAAAAAAAGCTCTTTAATTTCGAATCCCTAACCGTATGATTATACTAGTGGAATGTGTAGGTATTGTATGTTTGTATGTGGGTAAGATTGCATACAGTGAAGCAAGCGATGTATAATTATTGATGCTAACCCGAGATAAACTCGCTATTGAAACCAAATGTCAGTTGTTTTTGCGTTACTTGTTATTCACTGTTATGTTTCGCATTTTTTGAGCGATTTCAAAAAGAAACAATATCTCAATTGCACTATATTTTTGTAAGCATATGTTACGTGAATAACGTTATTAATTATGAATTCATTTTATGTATTAATCTTTTACCCCCTTATTCATAAAAACGTCAAATCTCTGATAAATCTATTTTGGCTACAGAACTATTTTATTACTTTCTTTTTAGTTAAATTTCCAATTTGGAAAAAGTGACAAAACAGTGTAATAGTTAATATAGATTTTGAAAATTGAAAATGTTTTATGAGAGTTAATATTTATTCCCATGTTAGTCCTATATTAATATTGTCACGTTTAAAATCGCAATATTTTGAGAACAAATATCTAAATTAAATTCTCCGATTAATAATTAGTTTGAACTATTCAGTTTTTTGGTCTAGAATGTAGATAGGTTAAAAAGGTGTAGGGCAGGAAATAATATCAGCTTATGAGTAAAAATATGCAAACACTTTTACAAACAAATTTTTAATATTAATATCATCAACAAGACCCGAAACCCTACGAGTATTTAACGTTTAAAATTGTTTAAATAAAGCAAAAATTTGTTTCGAAAAACTTTTGAGATTAATTCCGTTATTGTTTTTTTTATGTAACTTCCCCATTCAAATTACGTCTCTAGAACTAAAGATGACAATAAAATACATAAAGTGACAATAAAAAAAAATCTAATTCGTCGAATTGGAGTCACGTAAGAATGCTGTAATAAGACATGCACGATTCGAAACGGTATCAAGCAGCGAGATCAAAATGTCTTAACGGTATAACAATTGTATAATGATGTTTGCAGTTGCAATTTTTCTTGACTGACTATCACAATGGGGAGTGATGTGTTCATAAGTGAATTTGTTAACCTGTAACTAGTTGTTATTAGTAGATATATATTTTACCCAATTGTCAAAGAGAATGGAATATATATTTAACAATATATGTGTCCTATAGCTTCGCCCTCGTGAATTAGTACGTATATCCTATGTGCTAAGATCGAATATAACCTAAAGTATTCCAAATTTCATTCAAATTCGTTCAGTATTTTTTACATGAAAGAATAACAAACATCATTTCATCCATCCCTCCCAACAACATTTATAATATTAATAGGATTTTTTGTGTGCATTTGTGATAATGACCACGTGTTTAATGATATATTGCTATATGTAATTAAGTCCCAAAATCGATTCTTAATTAATTATTTGCTAATTTAGGAAACTTTCTTTTTCTAGATTGGCTCAATCTGGGTATTCTGGGCAGTGTTTTCAAATTAAATAACCCTGATTCCTCCTATCATTGGGTATCTTAGTTTGAAAACTAAACAATACAATTGTATAGCACTTATTAAAAAAATTACAAAATTCCTGGATCAGATATTGGCTTCACGAATAATAAAGAGTCATCTCTTGCGTTGTCTTGCACATGAAAATGTTAAGTGATACATTTTATTTTTATCTCGTATTACTACACAGATTTTACCTTATTCCAAATTCGTAAATATATTTACAAAAGACATTGTGATTTCCTAAATATTTTTTTAAACAAACTATTAATGCAAGAGAACAAAGAACAAAAAATATAATTATGGGACAACATAGACACAAAAAATTAATAGAGAGCGTCATGGACTAGTGGTTTTATAGGATAAAGGTCGTGAGTTCAAATTTGGCGATACTAAAAAAATTTTATGATAATTCAAAGTACACAAAATTTTCAATTTGAATGGAAAGCAATGGAAAACATCGTTAATATATCTTATTAATACATAAACCGACAGTAGAGCTTCTATTGATATTATTACAGTAGCCGTAATTGCAAATTCAAATATCAAATTTGTTCATCACTCTGAATACGGTGGAATCATAAACAAATAGTGCTCAAAAATGCTTAAAATATGCCTATTCTAGCCTTTATGGTATTTTGCAAATAGAAATAAATTACAACCTTTTTCTTTTGAAGTAATACAAAAATAATACCACAAAAAAAGATTTGCTTTCACTGAGTCGCTTATTAAATAAAAAAAAAGAATGCACCGAAATTAATACGTAAGGAATGTGCACACACTTCAAAAACTGTTCCAAATTCAATTTTTATTCTCACCTACATATTCGATTTAGTGGTAACTATACCACTCCCGCCAACCACCTTCAGGCTAGAAGGGGTGCCTCTATATAAAGTGAGAGTAACTTACACGCATCGCATACGTAATACATGACGCGAGTGTGTAGTGGGCTTTGTTTATTTTTTTCTTAAATTTTTTATTTTTTTACAAAAACAAAAAAGAGATAAAATTGTGCGTGCAATCATGCTAAAGCAGTGTGTTACGTTGACCATCCTGGGGTGTGTTATGGCGGTCCCCGTTCCGAGAGCACAGCATCAGTACCAGACTCAGCCACAGCAAGTATGTATTATATAATCTATAATTGGTCAGAAATTAATTTAATAAAATTTATTTTGTCAAGCTCTTTACCTCTAGAACTACAATAAAGGAGACTAAGAAAAAAAAGCATATTTCTTTATGCAACTTAGGATGGCAAACAGGCTGACGGCCCACCTGATGGAAAGTGGCAACCGTCGTCTATGGACATGAACAGTAACAATGTTTACTATACTATAATAATATACTAGTTCAAAATAAAATAAAATCTGTATCCCTTTATCGAGCCGCATAGGCATTATGGCATGTTATCCATATTCTCCGCCTATGGGATGAACTTTTTCCATTAGTAAGACATCAGTAGCTTATTGCACTACCGATTATACTCCAGTTTTTTTTTTTTCAAATAAAAACTGGTAACTAATAATAAGTATATTGAAACTAAGTGCAAGCAGTTTCAATACTAAATATATAACTTACGTATGAGTTTAATTTAATTCTACCTATTTAGATATAATTAAATACTACCAAGAATTCGCGACACAACTATATTTACAATTTTTTTCCAATTACTTATTTGAATTTATTTTTTTATTATATTACAATGAATTAAATAAATATTAATAAAAAATATTTGTACAATGTTTATTTATATTAATGATTATGAGCTATGTTACATGTACAAACATGGATAAAACTTGTTTGTTTAATTTGATTACAAACGAAATTAACGAATCTAGAAGCAACCATACCCAATGATTTTATTAGAGTTTAATCATGCAACACCAATTAAATATATTTCGTACAGAATAAGTAAGACAACAATATCCATAATAAATAATCTGTATAACTTATAAAAATTTTAAAAATTGAGTACGGGTCAGATTACAATCAAGTACAAATTCGATATTGCGAATATTCGGATTCGTATTCACTTTACTTGAATAAAATTATTTTCAGTTATTGAAGTTACTTATGTAATAATCATTCAGAACATCATATTTAACATTCTTTTACTATTTATTCGTTATCAGCACACAGTTTTCTTCTTAATTCGTAAATCCCACTAACTTTCATATGTTTTACGAGCCTATCCGTCGTTCATTCGGAAAAAAGTCGGTCACCAACGTTATGTCACAATTAATCTGGTTTAATGGTGATGTTTTACATCATATAGGTAATAATTAAGAATGAATTATGACATCATAAAATATCTAAGTAACCACGAATGTAACTATCTTGATATAATATCCATGATAAACGAGCAAATAAATAAATATAACAGCAAGAAAAATACCTTACAATTAAGTTGATCCAATATAAAAATCAATTTGGATCGTGTTAATCGTGGTGAAGATTGCGTAACGTTCCACACAAAAAAAAATACCCAAGAATTTCTAAACTTTATTTTAGAAGTTGCTTAAAACTAACTAACTAATATTACATCCATAATTACACTAGTACCTATGTTAGATATCTACTAGGTAAACCCGTCTATGACCAGTCCAGTAACTTTCTTCCTTAGAATAGTCTACTTGTTTCATGTAAAACTGCATACTTTGTAGTTAGTATACAAATGTTCAAGTTACTCGTAATAAAGCTGCATACTTTGCTTTCTAACGATGGAAATACCGTAACGCATAATTAAAAATTATAAATGCCTATTGACAGACACAATTAGTATGAGTGCATAATATAAATAATAGGTATGTAATAAACGTTTCATGACTTCAAATTAAACGTTCGCCTTTTAAAAAAATAGCTGCGTTCCATTTGCGTGCATAATTAGGTTGAATGCGTTTTATTTTCATAGTCATTTTTAGTCACAAATATAATGTTTTTTTTTTTATTTGAGACAAGTTAATTTGCTTGTAAATCTAATAATTAAATTGGTTCTTAATATAAATATTACTAAAACAAAATTATAAAGTACTAATAGAAAATTAACAATAAAAAGTAGAATCAATGAAAAACTGGCACTAAGCATTTCTTTTTATTCGATTTTTAAAAAAAATAACATGTCTCTTGGGCATTATGTTTTTCTTTTTATTTAAATTTTAAAAAGATTACCTTATTCAAGTTTCTTTTTAAGATAGTAGTTACTATTTTTTAAAGCAAATACCTACTTTTGTTTTAAACTCTAAATATCTACCTAGATGCAAATAATTATTCTCATATCCTTATTCAAGAACGTGCGACCCCATTAATCTGGATAATGTCAGACTCGAACTAGCTTAGTGCATTCTCTTATATAATGCACAACCACAAATTGCACTTTAATGAAATAACAGTTAAGTATATTGATATTTGGTTTTACAATTTTTACTGAAGATAATTTAGAACAGGTATTGGTTTTTATCGATTTCTCTCAATTCGTATGTATTTATTTATGTGACGTTACGTAATAGCTACGCTAATCTAAATCAACTTTGTGATTTCTTTTTATCCTTTTTAAACTTTATTTTATAAAAAAAACCTTATATATTAAATAATATAAACTTCAAAATACTCGTAAATATATCTGTATAATAAAAAACGATTACCAATAAACTGGTTAAATAAAAATATACCATTTTAGTTTAATAACCGGACCGGAATTGTATTTATTTGAGATGTAATTTCCTATCTAAACCTCTAGTTACGAGTTATAGCGTAATTTAATTATACTCTACTAACAATATCAAATAAATGTAAAAAAAAAAATATTTACACAGTTTGGATAATTCCAGATTAAACTTAATAATTGTAATACTTAGAAACACAAAATGCAGTCAATAACAAATCGAATACATAACAGTATTCGATTTTTACACATTATAGTAACATGATTGTTGAAAAATTTGATAGAGTACGTGTTAATCGCCTCACACAAACTGAATTATGTTCAAATAGACCGGAAAATTTTAACAAAGCATTTGCATAATCTCCCTCGCACATGTGGTACGACGAATGAAACATAACCGGTCAGTGTTACAGTTCTGCAATTTCGCAACGGCGTAGCATTTTATTTGAGCTAGTTACACCAACTAGGTCTATTGGGATTATGACGTAACGCACAATTGTGCGATCAACTTTTGGATCAACTATAAAGCGTCACACACGGCGAAGGTAATATTTTTATTTGATCTAATCACACCGTCTAAGTCTATTAGGATTATGTCGTAAAATACAAGTGTGCGATCCACTTTTGAATCCACTATAAAGCGCGTCACACACAGCAAAGTTAATATTTTTATTTGATCTAATGTTACCAACTAAGTCTAATAGATTTATGACGTAACGTACAATTGTGCCATCAACTTTTAGACCAATTATATAGCGCGTCATAAACAGCAAAAGTTATAATTTTTTTATACGACTTAGAATATTTTTTTAAGTTTTAAGATAAGATTTCAATGAATTTTATCAAACGGACTCTATCTTTTATTCAGACATGAAGTGTTACGTGGCACCCATGAGAATAACCGTCCGCGTTACTTTAACGCTAAAAAAATATTATACTTACTAATTGTATTATAAATGTGAAAGTGAGTTTGTTAACTTATTTGTTTTTACTTGGCGCTTTTCTAACCAGTGGTCATAAAATATAGTATAAGTACATATACTATTAGTCAAGAGGGCATAAGCTACTCTATTTATCTCGTACAATCAACATATTCCAGTCACATGAAACACACATAATACATAAATGAAAACATCCTAAAATAAAACATTATTGATTTCCATTTAGTATATAAAATTAACATAGTTTCATGTACCCTGCATGACCCACTTCTTAAAACTTGGTTGGCTTCAGTTTGCTGCAGTTTGACGTAACAGACAATTGCGACAACCTTGTCGGATTCCTTGGACATAACAGATGATTTTCATTGTATCGACTAATTGAAATTGCGTTTTTTAAATTTTTTTATTTTTTTATTTTGGATTCAATAACTATCCATCTGGATCGTTTTTTGCAATTTTATCGAGAAATATTGAAAAATATCAAGATCTACTTAAGTTTTAGTAACATCTTGCTGAAACCGATGATTGCTTTATAATTAAATTGTAAATTATATAAAATAAAATTATTAGAATATTTAAAATTATTATAAAGTTATTAATATAAATTTAGTTTCGTTGTTTGTCTTTAAATCCTTACTAACACTGTGATGTGTGAAAATGTGAATGTGTGTTTGTTAGTGACTTCGTAGCGCCTTAACGGCTTAATTAATTAATATGAAATTCGGTATACACATATTATATGCGAATGAAACGGATAATAATTAAAAAAGCTAGGTAATTTGTAGTCTGGCCAGTGGATATATTTTGGTCATGTAAACAAAGTTGTGTGGTCCTAGCATAGAATAGGCCACCCCTTCCTTTCCCGTGACTGTCGTAAGAGGCGACTAAGAGAAGGTGAGGAATTGGCAGCAGCGTCTCTCTTAAAACATCTCCAAAACCTATCTGCGGTTGTCCATCCGCTTGCCAAACTTATGTTCAATAGTGGGCAGTTAAAAGCCGATATGATGATGATGATGATGATGATGATGATGATGATACGAAGTCGTTAAAAGCTAGTATTTATATATTATGATATTATCAAGTGGCGTAAAGACGCTGGTAAATGTATAAATGAAAGTCAGCCATGCTCGTAGCTACTTCACGGTAAAAACTAGTTGGACACAGCTACCTAAACTGACGACTTTTATACAGTTTTCATGTAGTTATTTTCTTATTTACTGTTCTCCAGCAGGTCGAAGGCATACCACCACACCTTTTGAGGCAGTACATCGGTCAACAAGCCCAAGCTCCCACACAGATCATCGCCAGACCCGTACAAGCATCGCAAGCTCCTGCGCGCCTTGTAAGTTCTTTAAAACCTTTTATATATTCCAGCAGGCAAAAAGATAAAAATCATATCGTATAAAGCCTTAATAATATGTGTTATTTGCCTTAGAAGGTGAACTGCACAGATACTTTATCTGTAAGATAAATTGAATAATGATTGTGGTAATACCGACCCTCCACTTTCAGTGGTTCCTTTAAATATACCTAGCTCACGACCGCCCTGATGGTAACTATCCCTAATAGACGTGAATAACGCTATGAACAATTTCATAATGAAAATTTTCGTCTTAAAAAAAATTATAATATGTATAAAAATCTTTATAATATTTATTATTAAGAGATAATAAAAAAATAATTACCTACACATAATGTTGATCGTCATGCTTATTCGTGAGAAACAACATTGTAAATTTACGCATAATAAAACAATTATGATTACATACAATGATTACTATTTTCGGACGTCATTGTGAGAAATGTGAATGTTATTGCCGTAAACGTAGTAAAAATAAAGAAAGGAAATTACAAGCAAAGCTTACACAGAAAAACAATGGGTACTTCATTTCAAGTAAATTCATATTTGTATTCTAAATTTTTAGATATGCTTTTAACTATGCTTTTAACTATAGTATAACCACACACTAAAGAACTGTCTTATCAACGTATATATTACTATTTACTAACTACATATATAATAATAACTAAATATATAATATAATATAATATATATATATATAATATATTACATATATTATAATATGTTTAATAGAAGTTTAAGATTTTAATTGTTCTTGTTCTTAACTTATTTATGTTTCTTGGCAGCCATATTCAGCACAGAGCGAAGGTCAGTACCAGCCACAGTACCAAGCTCAGCCTCAACCCCAACCACAGTACAGGCCCCAGTATCAACCCCAAAGACAACAGGAGCAACGCGATCCCCAGGAGGACTATGATGTAAGTATAAATTCGTTTGCTTGGGCACCTCTGTCCCATTCGTGTTTCTACCGTGAAGCAGTTGTGTTTGCATGGCTGTGTTTCGGTTTGAAGGGTGGGATATGGCAGTGAATTTACAAGGTACAAGGGGAATAACACCTGAGTCCTCAGGAATGGCAAGGCATGGGGGGGTATCATGAGCGGAACAGTATATTCTGTTATGTCCATGGTACTGTTCATGTCTATAGGCGACAGTTACCACTTTCCATCAGGTGGGCCGTCAGCTTGTTTGCCATTCTAAGATGCATAAAAAATTGTTTAAATTCCATAATTGTCTCGAAAACAAAGCGTCTTATTTTGAAAACAGTTCACATTGTATTGAATGAGTTACAGTTATGAAACAATAACCTTCATGTATAGAAATATGAAAGAACTTTATAGCAATACATTTGAGTAACTTTTTGAATAGGCAATTAGACATCTTTATTATCGTGTGGTATGTTAAGTGGTAGGCACTGTTTTAATTGGAAATTATTTTTATAAATGTATAATTACGTTAATGCCGGTGATAGATTTTCATAAAAAAAAATACTACTCATAATTTATTGTATATATTTTTATATATATAATTAATATGATATATTTTTCTCAAAAATATGGCGTAATAATATTTATTTATTTATTGACCACATTACAAAAAATTTCCGGTACAAAAGTCGGGCTTAATGCTATATAGCATTCTCTCAAAGTCAACCTTTGGCAAAACAGAAAAGTTGAAAGCCAACTTTAAATATTGAAGAAAATGAAGATTTATGATAAATAATAGGTATTTTATTTATATCACGAAAATGACAAATTAGCATGTGGTCTATTTGATGTTTGTGCATGTGGCCATTGTTTCTGCTTACTCCAATAGAAGACTAACATGACGTATGTATCAATAAATTAATTATGTGCAGATAATGTAAATCGACAACCCTAGCAGCCTAGAATATAGAGCGTCAAGTTTCTCAGTGAAAGTCGCCGATAGTCCCCTTTTGATCCATCCGCATTACGAAGTACTGTTACACGTAGGTACAGACTGAGTTCCGTGCACGCGATTATAAAATTGTCTTTAATCGAATCGATTTAATGTTTGATCAGGAAATAATCGTTTCTGCATTAACTAGTAGCAATTAGGCATATCGCACATCGAATATAATATAATATTCGATATGCGAATAGGCATTTCGAATTTGTTCAGCCGTTTAATTGTTATTCAGAAACAAAACTCTTTATAAACTTTGACATAAAATTAAGCAAAATAAAATAATAATAATATAATTTGTAGGTACTTGTTTATCTCAATGATAATGTCGATCATAACAAATCTAAGGAATAAGAAAAAAATAAGTTTTATACTGTATTTCACTTGAATTATTCACTTGTCATTGTATATTTTTGTTTATAGTGTAATAAAGAGTTAAATAAATAAATAAATACCTTAAGTAGATTAATGGACGATAAAAGAATGACAAACCCGTCTGTGCTATCGTTATTTACTGGCGAGGCACTGGTGACGGATGATATGTAAGGATGCAAGCAGGTCAGTTGGATTTTGCTAGAATTGGGGATAACCGTCCCCAATTCTAGCAAAATCCAACTGATCTGCCCATGCATTCCCCCCCTCCCCTCCCTAATAAGTAGGTATGTCCATACAAACTCATTTTAAAATCCAACAACCTTATATTAGTATTACCGAACATACATTTGAGCGGAATTCTAGGGCAAACCTAAAAAGCTGAACACATTTTGTAACAGCAGCCTTGGTATATGAATAAAGATAGGATCTAAATTCTTTCCACGCTATTGGTAAACGAAACCCGTTCACTAATTCTCTAAAAATAAATTGAGCAATTTGTCTAAACGTTAATTTTGTACACTGTCTCTTTAATATCAACTGGCTTTATGGACACAAAAGGTCTCAGTAGTTGTGGGTTTGAATTAATAATAAAAACTCAATAATAATAAGAATAATAGCGGAATTAAAAATTATAATTTTAACCAACTAACCATTCATATATAAATAAATATTATCACGACTATAAACACCAATAGAGTAATCACAGGCATTGGTTTTTTTTATACAACTAAGAATGGCAAACAAGCTGACGGCCTACTTGATGGAAAGTAGTAACCGTCACCTATAGACATAAGCAGTACCATGGACATAATAGAGTATACTGTTTCGCTCATGACACTCCATGCGTTGCAATTCCTGAGGACTCAAGTGTTATTCCTCTGTACTCTGTAAATTTACTGCCTTATTTGCCTCACATCACTGCTTTATTATTTTCATTGGTGGACTATTGTCGTTGTGGAAAACGTTACACTCGATGTAACAAGACATGGAGCAAACCTATTTTCACTCAAATTCGGTTTATAATGGGCATTTATAATTACCAGACAAGGATATATCAAATACTTGTTGAACTTTAAAACACGTAGACAGTATCAAAGGTCTTTATTTATATATAATACGTGTAAATGAAATATTGAATAATGGAATACCAAAAAGGAATAATAAATGAAGATGAAGATAGGTCAGTCTAAAATTAACATTCTAATTCGAGAGTCTCGTCGAGTAGCGTCGAATTTAACATTCTAAAGAAGATTCAGTTCTCATAATGGCATCTTTCTTCCACAGCCCCATCCATCATACCAGTTCGGCTTCGACGTCAACGATGACCAGTACACCAACTACCAGAACCGTAAAGAACAGCGCGACGGTGACGTCATCAAGGGCTCCTATTCGGTGGTAGACAGCGATGGGTTCGTGAGAACCGTCACATACACCGCCGACCCTAAAGAGGGATTCAGGGCTGAGGCAAGATAAATATTAACTTTGAAAATTATTTTTAAGCGACTTCCAGAATACTTCTTTTATGTAATTTTGAAACAAAATTATCGATCAGATTTTGGTAGTTGTTTTCACAATCTTCGGGGACGGATACAAATTAATCATGTGTTGATTATTAACAGTTTTTATTTTGTTAAGCATATAACTGTTTGTTGCGAAGCAAAATCACATTTTACACGATTCCACGTTTGAAAATTCAAATATTACACATTAAATTTTCCATTAATAAATTTCTTATCGTTTATCAAAATGCAGTTGTCGCTTTCTTTTTACGAAACAAAAGATATCCGTACAATTAAATTAAATTATAGTTATGTAGATGTCGCCACTTATATCGAATATCCTCTTCGATAGGTTTCTAGGCAGCCAACCGACATCGTAGTGAAGATCCCTACTCCCAAGCCGCAGCTGCAAGCCCAGGTAGCACAGCCACAGCCTCAGGTGGCCCACGTGCCTCGGCAGCAATTAGTTCAACAACAGCAGGCACCACAGTATTACCGTTACGAACAGTAAACTAATATAGTCACATCAATAATAATGTCTACAATAGGTTATTTTAGGAATAAATATCCGGTTACTACATTACCATCCAGTGTACACTTATAATATTTATTTTCTATTTATTTTTACTGAAAAAAAATCTTAAAAAATGCTATGATAGTAGACGTTATTATTGCACACTGATGATAGTTCATGTTTAAAGTTTTAATCTGTTCCTTATAGAGATTAGAAAATAAATAAATATCATAACTTGTCATAGACAACGGTGTCTTTTATCTATTACTTTTTCTATCTTATACAATCTGACAGAGTAAGTCGATACAAATTATTTATTTAATAAGTTTTTTTTTTCTCTATAAGCAATGTTCACATGCATATTTTAGTGCATTAAATTTCAAACTGTGGTAATGTCACTTGCCACTAATAATTGTATTAAAATATGTGTAATTTAATTAATTTCTTTTACATATTAATTGACATGGACCTAATTTATAATTGCGGTGAATGTTAAAATAATTTTTGTATGAAATTTTACTTTGTAAATTTATATAAAAACTTAAATATTACTATTAATTATAAGGAATGTGATTGTAAATATTTAGAATAGGAGTCTTTTTATACGTTATTTGATTAAAACGTTAATAATTACAAACATATAATCTTTTATTTACAATATATCCTATTTAAACTTTTTAACGCAATTCATTTTGTATTTTAATTTATACTTTTTCCTAGTTTTAATACCTTTTTATTAGGTCTCTTATGGATTTATTGGATTAAATTTTTTTTTCTAAATTAAGATCTAAAAGTATCCAATACGAATCTAAAATATATATGTATTTTTTATTTAAATACCAGAGGGAGACTTTGTACAAAAGTTGTTTGCTTGGGCACCTCTATCCCATTCGTGTTACAACCGTGAAGCATTTGTTTGTATGATTGTGTTTCGGTTTGAAGGGTGGGATATGATAGTGAATTTACAGGGTGCAGAGAAATAACACCTGTCTTTAGAAATGGCAACGCATTGGTGGTATCATGGGCGTAACAGTATACATACTCTGTTATGTCTATGGTACTGCTCATGTCTATAGGCGACGGTTACCAATTTCCATCAGGTGGGCCGTCAACTTGTTTGCCATTCTAAGTTGCATAAAAAAAATCAATACGTTCTTCAGTTGTTTTAGATTTACCACCAAATATCCATATATATTAATGTACTGGACTTAACTATTATAACTAAGTAAATTATCTACTCGTATAAAAATAGGCATTGAGGTCCATTTCGAAATACCTTTCTCTAAACTTATCTATTAAATATATATTTTAACTTGATAGTTACATGAAAGTACTGTTTTATGGATCATTGTAAATCAAATTTATAATAATTTTGACCTAAATTTCGTTCATATTGGTCCTAAGAATAAGACTTTCGCTAACTAAAATAAAAATTAAAAAAATAGGTTTAGAGAATGACGCATTAAAATCGACCTCGTTGTAAATAAATAAATATGTAATGGATATGTTAGATTTTATTGTTCTTTGATACATTCGTTGTTCGAAATTCGCTAGAAATTAAACTAAATCATCTCGCAGACACATTAACATGAATCATAAAATAATTTACAATTAATCTAATACACTTCATAAATAAAAAATCAATACAGTTAGACAACAGCACAAGTATAAATATATTTTAATAAATAATATTAACAATAATAAATTCAGTCTATAAAGATTTACAAACCACAAAATGGCCGATAAATTAAGTCTAATAAATTATAAGACGATTTCCCGGCAATTTTACAGTAACCAATAAATTATTTTAGACCCTTCATTACACCAATGGCTTTTCAAAGTAAAGTTCTCGAAACTATAAAATACTTATTTAGTACATTAAGTATATTTTTATAATTAAATATAATTGAGCTCTGGCATATAAAACTTAAGTCTTTTTTTTTTTTCAATATACATAAAATATGATTATAATACTACGGAAAATTAGAGTTGTAGATACGAAATAATTTGGACGTAAAATAGAAAGCTGATAAAGTTCTAAATTGGTTTCCGTGTTTTTATAAAAAGTTCAGCTAACGTGGCAAAGGACAAATATTTTAATTCCAACGTTTCATAAATTAATCTGAAGTCGATTGAATTAATTTTTATTACTATATTGACCCATAATAATACAATGACTGATCAGTAAGCTTATTTCATAGTTTGCTAAGCCTATCGTCATTATGACGACGCAAGAGTTCGTATCACAAATATAATCATCCAATTTTTATTGAACCGTTGTGTATCCGAAAGATCGAGGTTGAATGTACTCTTGTACATATAATTCAATTATTATTTAAAATCTACCAAAAGTATAATACAATAAGGTTGAAAGTTTGTTTTAGAGTTTTTCATCAGAGAGCTTGTGACCTACTTCAAGCAAATACGTGAAAGGAGGTTTGAAATCAGATATACAAGGAAATCACGTAATTCATGTTAGGCTTTCATTAAGTCTTGCTTGTAGCCATAAATATTATACTTCATTGAATAATTAGGACCATTATATACTTTGCATACACTTATTAATTCGGAACCTAACATGAAACATACAAAATCAAAATTTTTACAATCATTACATTTGTTAATATTCAACTAATCAAAGTAGAGAAATAATGGTAGAATTCATTAAATCTTATATACACTGTTTTAAATTAATTGAATAGTATGTGTTAAATTTTGTTCCTGAATTTATTTATTTAAAAATATAAATAGACGATTAATATCATCATGTAATATGAATAATCTATTACTAATTATCATAAATGCAGCACGGGTTAATAATTTATTATGTACTTTTTCAAGATTTTTTAAAGTTCAAATATAAAAATAGAAATTGTGTATTTTGTTTCCTCCTTTATTTAAATTCTTCTAGTATCTATGACAACACATATTAAAAGTCATATTATGATATCATCATCGATGGTAAAAATTTGCCTTATTATTTAAGCCATATACCTAAACAGTTTAATGATGTGATATGACAGATATATTAAAATATAAAATGATTAATCGACTATTGAAAAACCAAGGTCATCGATTGTCATTTTAAGCGGTCAGTAGCGATAACCGACGTCAGTCGACCGCAATCTAATTACACGAAGAGCCAACACTCTAGATAAATATCAAGTGAAACAATTGATAGATAGGCATTCATTACCACCCATAAGAACGAACGAGACGCTGAATGTTGCTGTCTCATTCTGCCTCATGCACAGGAAGGGAAAATGTGTCAACCGTTGAAAAATTTGTTAAATATCTAAAAGAGTTTATGCCTGTTTATTCATATATATAATGATTCCTTATAACTCTAATGAATGTAAGGCGAATTTTTAAATTTTTCATACAATACCTAATTATAAAACTAACGTATCGTCCACTCTAAGGCCTGACAATTCTCTCTCTATCCAAACATAGGTACTTTATGCCTATACCTCCTTATATCTATAAGAAAAGCTAGACGTATTTTTGCTAATTCCGTACATCTAATTAAGATACACCTATGGCATAGGATCTGGCCTGCAGACACACCCTGACTCCACCAACACGTAGTCCTGTCCAGTTAACGTCACAGGCCCCAATGGAAGTACTAAGAATAAATAAGGCACATACGTTTGTGTGCAAGATCCTCGCACTAAGGAGCATTCACTTGATCTGAAATGGATGGATAACAATTTTATATTATTAAAAATAAAAAGTAAGATAATATTAACAAATCAATATAATAATACAAAATTAACAATACTACAAGATTTTTCCGTAGTAATATGAAAAATAAAAATCGACTACTTAGGTCCAAAATTTTAAAATAAGTAGCTCTGACTTAAATCTATTGCAAGTTTGATTCATAGATTTTTTTTTTTTTTTGTAGCATCAAACTGAAAAATCTGGTTTAAAATAAAAAATAATATTGCATCATCTACTCCAATAAATAACCATAGGATATTACGGAAATAAATAATGTCCGATCATTCAAATTTAAACACAGCTATAGCACAAGCACAGATTCGCGGCAAAAACACAAGTGCAGCATCGAGGAAGTCAACTTTAGAACAAACTGACTAGTGATTTTAGGATTGCGTCACTAACGTGCCAAAAATATGACTATATTAAAGTAATTTACGTCACTATTTTACGTAAATTATAGAGCATACTTACTCGCAAACCTCGAAAACAACTTGTTGCAGCAAATCCGGGAACTTCTGAACAATGGTGACGGGCTGTCCAGATGTAAGCGAGACTCCATACATGGGGGCGGTGGTGTTGTAACGAGTCCTGCACAATCTCGTGCCCCCACACGAGTTTGATGACAGTGGAGACAGGCCTGGTAAATTTGTGGCACGACCTGGAAAAAACAAGACGGATTTTCATTGTGGTAAATTCTATGCTAATATATATTTTGTGTATAGTGTTGGCAACATTGTTAGTGTGATATTTAATTAATTTTGGATAAGTTTCGACTCCTTGTAACGACGTATTGACCCATTAAATTTAATTTAAATTTTCGTTCAGTGTTTTTCAACTATAAAATAGATTTATTAAAAGTAAAGTAAAGCACGTTCTAATATTTAACAACATTCTATTTACCTATTTATAGTCAGTAATTTTTGCGTATTGCCAGAACAAATACATGGTCAAGCAAAAATTCTAAAAATTATTGTTTTAATAATATTTTTTTCTTAAATGTCTCCTACATACAGACATCGTCTGCGTATATTTTTATATATATTAATAAAATATTTTACATAAATACCTACCTGTAACTGACAAGAATTTTAGCATTACATTTGGTAGAGTAGAATTTATACTACCAGTAGCACAATCTTAAATCTCATTTCAAGTGACTTCAAAAACAAAAATATTCGCAAATTTATTGTTTTTTTTTTTTTTCTTTTCTTTAACACTACATATGTATTATATAAATAAGTGATTAAGATAAAAAAGAAAACTCATATGAATAACCTATGAATTTGTAAACAAAAGCATTTATTTATTTAAACTTTATTACTTTATTGACCAATAAAATATGGTACAAAAGGCTTAATTTGGCGATTTCAATCTTAAGGGATCGTTATCGACCTCTTTGGGAATCCCTGCTTTAAATAATGTCTTCGAAATACCCAAGTGTCTAATGGAATAATGTCCTTTACGTTTCTTAAGATATTTGTTTTTTTTTTTTTTTTAAATGGAATTATGCATCGCTTGTTATACTGGTGCGGAGTGCCAGTGAGTGATGTTAAATGTAGGACAGTTGGCATCGTGATGATTTATTGACATCGCATAATGTCTGTCGTGTAAAATTTATTCGCTTTTTTACTTTCGAACTTTATCTGTGACTCATTATGTAAAGAATAAACAATCAGAACGGAAATCGTAGCCGATGTTTCGAGCAATTAAATAAATCTGACTCACGCGCGTTTGGAAACATGCCTTAGGCATTTAAATGTATGTCAAAAGCATTGACGATAAATTAAAAGTTTATTGATTTTATTACCCTTTTTATTAGCCTACCTAATTCTCTATAATATTTTTCATCAAATATTATATATAATATTTATTATATATATATGTAGTTAGTATTAAAAAGTTTATCCTAAATAAATGAACTGATTAGGGACCAAAAATTGAGACAAATAAGTACTTGTATAATAGAGTTGACAAATTGCAATTAATAAAAAAAAATTACGCGACGAGAACTTAAAAGTTCCAAATTCAAATATTTTTATTGTTAGATTAAGAATACCTATATAATATCTATGTAATTTAATGCACAAATCAAATAATGACAACAGTATAATAAAATTTCTATGAAGTGTCTAGTTGTTCATAAGTGTGATGTCTACAATTGCTTGCTATTCTTAATCTATGGTGCGCATGTTTATTGAATCTTCACCAATTCTAGACTGATATTGTTCAATTTTTTGCAATAAAAAATTCCTTTTAAATAAAACATTTTCATACATTCAAACAATTTTCTTTACGAATTACTATGTATGTACTTAGGTAGTGTGTTTGTAATTTAGCAAATATTTTTATCTTACCGGTTCTATTGCCTGTTTGGACTCTGGCATTGGTCTCAGAGTAACCTTCGTGCGCATCTAGAAGAGCTCGCCTCATCAACGTCGGGTCCAGGGTACGAAGTCCTCGACCCTGTCGTGATTGGCCCCATGGTCCGGATTTTAAGGCCCTATTCACCAAATGTCTGGAACAGAGAAATGTCGGGTTAAGTAACTTATTTTAACACAGCTTCCAATGAGATAGGAGGGTTATGTATTGGGGGAAAGGGGTTGTTAGTAATTAAGGTCTAAAATCCCATTGCCAACAAAACACCCACCCTATCAATTGACTATTACGTAGTTCCTCCTGGATAACGATCCTGCTGAATCTTGTTGAATTTGCCACGATGAGTCAACTGACCTACTTTCGTCCTTACGGATTATCTCCCACTAGTTCCTCGCCAGCGTATACCGATGGCACAGACGGGGATACCATTCCATTTTCACCCATTAAAAAAAATGTAGTCGTATTTACATACATACTTGGATTTTTTGTTTCAATATAATATAAATAGCTTGATGAATTTCTATTAATAAATGAACATATGTATATGTATGTATATTAGATACTCCCAAAATATAAAAAAAAGAACAAAAACTTGGAAAGTTGCATTTGTTTGACCATTTAGGGAAGATGGATGAAAGAAGAATTACAAAAGAGATTTATCAAGCATCAGATTTATCAATGGAGATGTCGGTAGGGACCGGCGTACAGGTGACATGCTAAATTCAGTACAAATTAAAAGAAAACCGTAACCGGCGAGCGTGTATGAATGAATTGATGAATGTAGAGAAAACGAAAGCAGTCTATTTGAGTCAGAGCATTTGACATTCCATTGTTTCTGCCTGCTCCAGTGAGAGACAGGCACGACAGATATGTATGTATGCATGTAATAAGTGCTATACATGCATAGATACTCGTGGATGCATTTAATCCACATTGTTAACCTTGTCTTTGTAGTTGTAATCAGAAATATTATTCAACCTAAGTATTTATTTATATACACTGTATTGCACCAATTAAAAATAATAAATACAGTAGTTGTGGGGAAAAGGATTGTTAGCAATGGATTTTGACAGCCCCATTGCAAGCAATATGCCCTATTAGGTCGAACTCCACGTGGTTCCCTCTGGAAACCATCGTGAACAATTCTTGTTGAATTCGTCACGATGGGCTAACTGACCTGCTTCATCCTCACCTATCATCCTTCACGAATTATTAAAAAAAATACTATAAATTGTAATGAGAAGTGTTACAAAAGGCAGTCTCAACATTATGAACCAAAAATAAAATTATGCAACTCCTGCCATCTATGAATAATATCCTAAACTACTATATATATTATGTAGATACTAAGCAGTCAGTCTTTAGTAAAATAAAAAAACAGATGGCGTTAAAGTCAATTCAACTAACAATGTCCCGTTACATTATTATCTATCACGAAAATTACGATTATTTCACAAATTATGCGGGTGATGAATAATGTTGGTACCTATTTTGTTGAGAAAATTGCTTCAATACACACTCAAGGTTCGCATGGTGAGAATGTTCTCACAAAATTAAAGATTGAATAGCGTGTGTATGAATTAACTGTACTATATAAATAAGTAAGTAGGTAACTACATAATCTACAAATAATATTGTAATTATATTATTGTCTGAGTATCTATCTTGTAACAAATAACATAGATAATAGAGAGATCCATAGTTAAAAGGTTTTACATTTACGTGATTTCAAACTGGCCTGTATTGTCTATTTTATGATTGTAGAGCCAATTTGCGGGATATTTTTTGTCTATCTCAATTTCGTCTGTACCTAAAACTGGTAGGTTTTCGACACTTATAACAAGATCCCAGGTAGGTTTATAAAAAAAAAACAAAATAAAAAACAATAAATTTAGGTATAAAATTACTTGTCTGTATCATCATATGTATATGATCGCTTCTAACTTACTTGAATAAATAAACACCTTAACTTTGAATTTCTAAGACCTAAACGTGAGAGAATCAAAGCATAACGGACCCGAATAACTGGAGTTACTCTAATACAGAAGAATGATAACCTTTTTGACGACCGCAATCAATTAACACTATAGTGTTATTTTCTTCCGTAACGTTTAAAAAATGTTAAGGCAATGCACACAAACAACCTGGCAGTTTAGATATGTATGTATGTAGATGTTGTAACCACTTGTTTCTATTTAGTTACTATAATTATTAATATACTAACTTTTTCGTCACTACTTTGTAAGCATGGATTAAGAAATAGGAAAACCGATGATCTACATATTCATATCCAATCCTACTACTTCTAAATGTAGTATCAAAAAGAAACAAATGCTGATTTTATATTACATTTTCAACAACACATCTGTAAAAACAGAAATAGTTTGGTGTAGTAGTATTGCGTCGTCCTGAAACAAATATACAGACAGATAGACGAAACTTCTAAAATGTATTGTTTTAGTATCTTCAATAGATGTCAAAAAATAAATATCTATGTATAGTCATTTTCTAGTCTCAATTTTATTATAAAAGTACGATGTCTATGGACTTAACACGAACATAAGGGCTAACTAAGAAATCTAGTTAGAATTACCACTTCATAATAATCTATAGAGAGCAAAAAGTTGAATATAGTTAAAGTTAAATACCTACAAAAGTTCCTGGTTACGTACTGTATTATAAATTGTCTCTGTCTATTCAAAAAGGGCATACTAAAGTTTTTAAGGGTCGGTAACGCGCGTGTGACTTCCCTGGTATTATAGGCATCCATAGACTACAGTAATCCCGTTTAGCATCAGACGGGCAGTATGCTTGTTTGCCACCATAGTAGTATAAATAAATATTTATCTAGTAAAAAGAAGTTATATATATTTTTTTTACTTTTTAAATTTAATTTTATTTATCCAAACAACATTATCATAAGAGATTAGAAACTAGTCAAGGTGCGCGTATACCTACACGCCAATTGTTAATAAAGTTTGTATTACATAAAGTAACAATTAGAAACTCAGTCGTAAGTATCTATAAACTTTAATCAATCACTAACTTCAGTATCTTCAATATCCTTTTCCAAATCCGCTTCCAATTTTATAAAGTTTTTTGGCAATACCAATGACTCTTCTAATTTTAATCGCTTCGGGGTTGGCTGCTCTATGTCTTCTTTCTCATCTAAAACCTCTTTGAGGTCATTTTCAGTTACTAAATCGTCGTACAATAATTTGGACGTGAAAGAAGCCAACCCTTTTCTTGGGTTAACACCGAATATCGCCTCGCTTGGAGTCTTGCAAATTATCTCATTGAAAGTCGTGTTCAAAGTATGCTGCACAAATTTCAAGCCCTGTTGCCATTTCGAGCTTTGACTCTCGGATAACCAGTCATTTAATTTTTTTAAAATATCCTCATTGGACTTGCCTTTGAAAAACTCACTAGGCATCACACCCTTGCCAGCAACTATTTTCATATCAGGGCATAGAGTTGATATTCGCCTGCAAATCGGTTTGACAACCGACATACCATTCTTTGACTGCAATATATTTGGTGCGCCAAATACCAGAAATATTTCTAATAACATATCCACCATTTCTTCCATACAAATTCTTTTTAACGGCTTTAAATGTATGAACTTGCTAATGTATTCCCTGTACACCATCATGTATTTATATTCTTCGCTCGAATCGGTTGTTACGTCAAGAATGTCCACTTGACCTCTGGAGTAAAGTTCTGGGTGGGAATATATGATGTCGTTTATTGAAACGTTTTGAATTTCAATGTTGTCCTGTGATTCAGAATTATGCTGATCATTATCTGAACTAGTGACCGCTTCATTATCGAACGTGTTGTCCGAACCCTTACCTCGTTTGACTAATTTATTTTTACACGCAATGCACATTGATAAGTAAACTAACACATTTTCTGTGGTAATATTTTTATACTTCTTCTTGAGTGCCACCATCATTCGTGATCTACCGCCGTGGTTTAATTTGAGATGATATTCTTTTATAATATCATACATTTCATTCGTAGTAACGAACTCTAACCTTTCTTTTTGTCCCGGCTTTAATGTAGTAAACAATCTTTCACCACGTGGAGTTTCAATAACATCAAATCTCTTGGCTCGACGGTAATCAGCCGGACATTTTTTTCCACTTGTATTAATATATTTCATCTGTTCAATCATTTGAGCGTACCTTTCCGGCGTTAATAGAAACGTGTTGGAATGTTTACGTTGATACACATCGTATATTCGCCGGTGAAACTCTTCTCTGTCGACTTCGTAATTCGTGTGGTTGTTGTTTGTCGACATTGTTCTCACTAAATAAAATGCCTGTCTGCCTTGAATTTTATGTCGAAAACTTAATGCGATACTGAGTAATTATAATAATAGACTGATAAGCACCTATAAGTGGAACGACACGCGACGCAGTTAACCGAATGACGCCATTAGCCGAACTAGACCGATCCGATCCGAAATTCCGAATGTAGCCGGACAAAGTCGAACATTAGCTTCGTCTCGCTCGGCCGGCAGAAACGCATATTGCCCACAGATGTTATTCAATAAAACCGGTTCAATTCGAGGCCAGTGTGCTAAACTAAAACTAGAGATCTAAATGATAGAGTTTAAAATTAAGTAAAATCGATTAGGCACAGTAAGAACATAATTAGTAATAGCACTTTATGGTATATATTTACCTAATGTATTTATCTATTTGGGTCACATATTCACGTTTCACTGTACCGTATTGCAGTAAGTAATATTGAGGTTTATTTAATTTATTGGACCGCTACAAAGATCCTTTTTTTATAATAAATTCCTATATATATATGGTAAATATGTGTACATTTTACATCGATACGGATATCGGAGACTAAAACTTCGGTACGTTCTTTTTTTATTTATCCTATTATTATTATAAATATAAAAGTTATCAAAGATGGATATATAGATGAATGTTTATTACTCTTTCATGCAAAAACTACTGAACAAATGTGAATTAAATTTGGTACACGAATAGATTATTACCATACCATATCATAGCATATTACCAGAGAGAGACTTTGTACAAAAGTCAATTGCTTGGGTACCTCTGTCCCATTCGTGTTTCAACCGTGAAGCATTTGTGTTTGCGTGGCTGTGTTCCGGTTTGAAGGGTGGGATATGGCGTGAATTTACTGGGTACAGAGGAATAACACCTGAGTCCTCAGGAATGGCAACGCATAGGGGGTATCATGGGCGAAACAGTAGGTATACTCTGTTATGTCTATAGTACTGCTCATGTCTATAGGCGACGGTTACCACTTTCCATCAGGTGAGCCGTCAGCTTGTTTGCCATATATATATGTATATTGTATAAAAAAAGCTGGTAATTGTTTACTTGTCCATTAATTGTCATGCCCGTAGTTGCCACGCTTGGCAAGCGGAACGTTCCTGCCTATCCCTCGTAAATGTCGGGACCACACGGCAATACAACAATACATATGATACAATATAATACATAGGGTATTGTCCTTACTTAAATATATAACACTTTATATATTGACCAGCTTTTACCCAAACATCGTCCGCGTGACAGGGGATGTGTTTACTAACTGGGATAAAAAGTAGCCTATATTCTTCTCCATCCCTTACAGTACTTGTATGACAAATTTTATAGTGATTCATTAAGCCTTTAAAGTAACAAACAAAGAAAGAAAGAAGCAAACTTAGTTTTACATTTACAATATTATTAAGGATTCAAGCGGGCGAAATTTCAAGTAAATATAATACCTCATTAAAAAAGAAAAAAAAAAGAACTTTATTTTACCGCTATTTATAAAAAAAAATAATATTTATTATTAAACAAGGTGACGATCACTTCATGGAAAGTCATTTAAAGTCGGTAAATAAAATTAAAAATATAAAAGTTAAATTACCTTGGATAAGGTGTACCGTCCGGACCGGGGCAATCTGTGCCTTGAAGTGCATCGCCCCAAGCATAATTTAATATAGGTCCACAATCTGCCACGCAGTATGACAGTAACGCCTGAAATTTAAAATAAATAAAGTAAGTTAACAAGAAAAGGTATTGTTATGTATATAAGGGGTTCTTCAAAAGGGGGGTAAAGAAGTTTCTTCAGGGTCGGCAACGCACGCATAATACCTCTGGTATTGCAGGTGTTCATAGGTTACGGTAACCACTTACCATCAGGTGGGCCGTATGCTTGTTTGCCACCTCAGTGGTATAAAAAAAAATTAAGGGAGGGATTATTAGTAATAAGGTTTAGTAGTCCCGTTGCTAGTAATATACCCTAGCAGGTTGACCACTTCGCGGCCACTCCTGAAAATCATTATACTTAATTCCTAGTGAACTTATCACGATGGACTAACGAACCTGCTGTTTCATCCTCTCCTATCATCCTTCATTAATGTCCCGCCAGCTTATACCTATAGCTCAAGCTGATTTACCATCACATAACACACATACATCATAATCTTTAAAAAAAAAGAGCATATTCCTTTTTAAAAGGCCGGCAGCACACCTGCAATGCCTTTGGTATTGTGAGTGACCATGGGCGGCAGTAGTCCCTTACCATCAAGTTAGCCGCATGCTCGTTTGCCCCTTGTGCTTTAAAAAAATCTTCATTCATCAACAAACTAATTTGTATGTATTTTCAACGCCATTCAAAACAATAATTATACTTACTATTATATTAACTATTATATAATTATACAACTGGGGAAGGGGAGGTTTAAAATTTAGTAGCGGATAATCAACAGTAAAAGGTTACAAGCTGAGGGCATCCATTAATTATAAGATCTTAAAATAGAGGAAAATAGACAGGAAACATCTGGCCAAATATCTTTTCTACCTGCAGAGGGTCAATAAAATTATCCCATCAAATTTATATCCAAACGAAAAAAAAAAAAAGCTATCAACGTCCTCTAACTGGGGGGAAAAGGATTATTAGTAATGGAGTTTAGTAGTCCCATTACTAGCAATATACCCTCTCAGGTTGACCTCCACGCGGTTCCCCCTAGAAACCATCATGTTTAATTTTTGTCGAATTCATCATAGTGGGCCAAATAACCTGCATTCATTCTCACCTATCATCTTCCACTGGTGCCTAGTCGGTGTATACCGATAGCGCGGGCGGGGTTACCAATCCATTTTCATTAAAAAAATGTCCTCTAACTACAGGTATTTTGTCCCTCAAAAAATTTGATCGCGGTACCATTTTTTTTTTATTTGCACTTAATTTAATAATCTACCTATCCGGTCAGGTAAAAACGAATGTACAGGTATCGGAGGAAGGGATTGTTAGTAATGCGGACTATTAGTCTCATTACTAGTAATATAACCCTGTCAGGTTGTCCTCCACGTGGTCCCCCCTGGAAACCATCATACTAATTTCCAGGTATATTCATAACTGACTGACTGCCTCCTCATTCCTGTCACCTCTCACTGGTGCCCCGTCAGTGTTAGCGCAGGTGGAGTAACCAGGCAAGTTGGGTATCCAATATCATTAATTAAAAAATACATTTAAATTAGCCTAACTTAGAACACGCGATACTTTACGTAGTGATTTACGCAGGAAAAGCCACGGGGCATAGCTAGTTTATACTAATATTAAATAATGTAAATATCAATAAGAATATAATATAAATATATATATAAGCTAATAGTTGTATTAAAAGTAAATGTACGAAAGCGTATAAATAAATAAATCTTTCATAATTTGATTGTTAGTTTTTCTTTATTCATAAATTGTTTGTTTGTAATTAATAAACTTAAAACGTACTCAAGGGATTTTAAAAATTCTTTCACCATTAGAATGTTACATTATAAGGAAGTAATATAAGCTGTATATAATATTTTCAAAAACCATATCTACTCATATGAACACCAGGCAGGGTCATCAGCAACAAATTAAATATCATATCACATTCATTCTATGTTATTAAAACATGTGAATATTGTGCTAGGTATTACACCAATTATCTGGTCACTGGTTATTTGATTAAAATTATTTTGTTTAATTCCGCTAACATTAGTATGTGTGTGACTGCCAACACTTGAAGATTGTCCACCACTATTACTAATTTTATTAGTAATAATAACATCAAATAACCAGTGATATGGACTTCCACAAGATAATACCTAGGTCAGTAAAATAATTATTTAGTCCTCAATCCAGGATAATTATACTTTGTTATAAAAAAATAAACAACAAATCTAATCTAGACGAACCTCGTACACTCAGACCTGAGTCATATTAACCCTTCTTTGCAGGAGGCAAAGGGATTGTTAGCAATGGAGTTTGACAGCCCTATTGCTATTAATATACCCTATTAGGTCGACCTCCACGTGGTTCCTCCTGGAAACCATTGTGAACAATTCTTGTTGAATTCGTCACGATGGGCTAACTGACCTGCTTCATCCTCACCTATCATCCTTCACTGGTGCCCCGCCGGTGTATACCAATAGCGCGGGTGGGGTTACCATTTTATTATCACCCATTAAAAAAAACCTTCTTTGCATCATTTTTTTTATTGGTGAATTATTGGTGAAAAAAATCAAGGTAATATAATTATTATATTACCTTGATTTATATATATATATATATATATATATATATATATATAAATTCATGTTCAAAATTAAAAAAAGAATAAAAAAAAGTGAGAAGGGTTAAGTAAATTATAAAGAGTCATAAAAGCTTAGGGTCAGATTTATAATCGATAGATCCTTACTAGTATTATAAAAATAAAAGTAATTTTTTTACTTGTTTGTGACTTCTATATAACTCAATCAATTGTCATGAAAAATTTGATAAAAGTGTAATTTTTTATAGAGGCTGTTATTTATCTACGTCGATCTATTTTTTCTGACCACGCGAACAAATACGCCAGTGAAAACTAGGTTCATGTATTTTTATTCTTAAACATTTTTCAATTCTAAGTAATCGATTAAATCGATATAAAAAATAACGACAATAAAAATGAGCATCGTAAGGAGCATAAAATCATTCGTAGTTCGCTGCGACAGCGGCGCGTGAGTCGCCGTGAGGGGGCGGTATGTGTGCCGTGGCCGAATGACACAGTTCCCGTAAACACTCCAAACCATCTTTGACAAACAGAACCTGTCCTTTTTATCGTCCAAATTTGTGGTGTACCTACATCGCCTTAGATATAGCATAGAGAAAACAATATTATCTAGATACATTACATTTTCTCTATGATACTAAATATCCTACACAAGTGAAATCTATACATATAATAAAATTATAGACGTCGAACGTCTGTACACAGAAAAAACGCTCAAAACCAAGTCAGGGAGATATTAGAAGTGAAATAGAATTTATCTGTTTGTCTCTTTGTACGGGCTAATCTCCGAAACTGTTGGACTGATTAAAATTAAATTTTTCATGGTGGTACCTTACATCCCCGGTCAACATTTTAGATACTTTTAATCACGTTAAAATAAAGATTTTTCCGTGGCATAGTTAAAAAACTATAGAAACTTATACAGCTTAGTACACAACCTACTTAAGTAAAATCACTTTGACCTAAGGCAAAGAGTGAGTACGACACGTCATTTGTTAATTTTGGTCCAATATTCCCAGACATAATAAATACTTGTAGGTACATACATAAATCGATACATACTAAACAGAAATAACAAATACCACGCAGACAAAGCCATGGGCCTACATGGGTACAAGTTTATTTCATTTTGTTTCACTTCTATTAAAAAAAAAATTTGCATCTGGATAATATTGTAAAACTTTTGCTAACTTATCATTTAACAACTTTACATTCTATTGGTATTTATAAATAACAACGATGTATTTTTGCCTTATACTTAGTATACTTCTATTAATTCCTTTTCGCTTCAAAATATAATATATTCTATACAATCTAAACAAAAACACTATTTACTACCTCCTTTACGGAAGGAGGTCGGTAGAAGAGGCAAAAGGGATTCTTAGTAAGAAAGATTAATAGTCATATTGCTAGCAATACACTCTAGTCAACATCCTAGCGATTCCATGGAAACTATCTTGGTTAGTTCTTGTTAAATTTATCACTAAGTACTAACTGGTCTAATTTCATTCTCATCCATATCATCCCTCACTAGTACCTCTTCAACGTATACCGACGTAGCAGGTTTACCATTCCATCTACATCCATTAGAAAAAAAAATCATTAAAAAAACTGCCCTACGGACTGTTATTTGAATAAATAGGTACTTTAGTTGTACATCCGGTGATTGTTTGACCGGAAGTACTAGACAGCCTAGTGTAGTGAAGACGCGAATCGGAAAGACCTTCAAAAGAAAGTGCTCGCAGTCGATTTGTAGGTCATTTCTATATAATATGTCATTGAACCGTTTGTATGGGTCGCCTCGATATCAGGTGTAAGTTGAATTATGTTACTTGATATTAACTATTTCCTATTATAATATTGCATATTAACATGCATATTAGATATGTAGGTCGTAGGCGAAGAGTACGTATCGATCAAGTATTTGCCAATTAGGAAAAATAATAGATATACTAATTATAATATTTTTAATTATACTAAGGTTTGGTAATGTGCTGTATAATAATAGTTTAATACCAAGGAACCTACAATACAATATACGTATTTAAAATATACCATATCTCTATGTAGAAATTAGCAACATTATTCAATATATCGCGTCATAGTACCTACAAACCTACACAAGATTTACAGAAAGTTTGTGCTAATTAACAAAGGAATCTTGGTGTACGAAAATTAAAATAATGAAAAAAAGAGAGTGTGTGTAGGTATTTACATATACGTGTATGATAATGGATTCTTTAAATAATGTGCTTTCATATGCATTACATATTTTACATAATTGTAATATTAATTCAATGCATAACCTTTTTAATATAATCCACAAGGGACAAGTGTGTTTATTATTATGTCTATCATTGAGAGTCTCTGAAGACCCAAAAGTGAAATTTGTTTAAAGAAAAAGCAGCGAAAGTGCTTAGCGGTCTCTTGAGCTTATTGTATGGACAGCACGTTCTAGTACGACATTTTGTTACTCGATTTCCGAGTATCTGAACATTTTATAAACATACTTATTCTAGACAAAGAGTAGCGAAAGCCAAAGTTACTTCACAATGCAGAATTTAAACTTTAGTTTGAATAAGTTTCACTAATATCCACCTGCTACTAGAATATAAATTTCGTTTTTAATCATTTATTCTTTTTAACTCCAAAAACTCATAATTAGATATTCATCTTAAATAAGAGCTATTGAGTCAGCAGTAAATTATATTGTTAGTAAGTAAACAGTGCTTTCATAACTGGTATATCATACATTATCATCATTATTATAAATAATGTTGTTGATAATTATTCACCGCTTTGGTTTAATAATTTATGGTTTATAATTTTTGTTATAAATATATAATTTATGAATAATGTTTCTCGATTTCTAACTCAATTGACTTAGTACTTTATATTTAAATTGTTAACTTTTATTGGAATGGTTCTAAGTCATCTGCATTAACTTCCTACAAAAAGATTTGCACTTTATATATGGTATAGTGAGGGAGTAATCCTACTCTGTATTTAGTTATGCGGGGTAGCTATTAGAAAACTTTTTAATTAGTATAATATTATAAACAATTTCGTCGCTCGCGCCACTTTCAATTATTCCATTAAAATTCGTAATTTCCTGTATTTTCTCCGACATTTACCAGTAGAATCTAATAGTTTAACATTAATTATGATACAATTAGAATTTTTTTTTAATTAGATTATATTATATTTATTATATTATTTAAAATTAGTGGAGTGAATATTGGTTCGAATATATAATTTAAACTAATAAAGAAGGAAATTTTCATCTTTTGTTGGTAATGAATAAACTAAAAAAATACTTAACTAATATTGAAAATTCTGTGCCTTATAAAAAGATACATTATTAGGAAATAGTATGAGCTATATAGAAATTGTGATATATGGTCGATATATTATTTATCGACACTTACCAGAGGGAGACTTTGTACAAAAGTCGATTGCTTGGGTACCTCTGTCCCATTCGTGTTTCAACCGTGAAGCAGTTGTGTTTGCATAACTGTGTTTCGGTTTGAAGGATGGGATATGGCGTGAATTTACTGGGTACAGAGGAATAACACCTGAGTCCTCAGGAATGGCAACGCATGGGGGGTATCATGGGCGAAACAGTATACTCTATTATGTCCATGGTACTGCTCATGTCTATAGGCGACGGTTACTACTTTCCATCAGGTGGGCCGTCAGCTTGTTTGCCATTCTAAGTAGTATAAAAAACAAAAAAAAAAAAAAAAACTATAAATTAAAGATACCTGCGCATCATCACTTATTCATTATTGCCGTCACACATTTCTCAGTTTATTTTTTACTTGATTTTCCCCAGCCGATGTAAATAACCATTTCTATACTAATTTATATAATGAACATTATTTTAACTATAATTGTAGTAGATAGATCGTGATTTATACAATAAATTGTTCAGAATACTACAAATAATAATTGACGCCTTTAATGACACTAGGAATTCTAAGTTGTTAACAATTGTGGTTAGATTAGATTCCCTTGGCAGGGAGACTAATATAGAGATACAGCACAGCTTAAGGTCAATATGAAACTATATGATAATTATTGTTTCTAGAAAGAGAATTTCAGATATGACTAAATTTTATGGTACGCAGGAAGTTATTTAGGTATGTAGCACCCTCTTGTGAAAATCATTATCGAAAAAAGAAAAAAAATTTTTTTACGCCTTTTTTTTTATTTACCTAAATAATTGTCATCGAATTCTATTGAATTGTGAATGCAGTCTCCAGCAAATAATTAACAAAATTTTTAATGAGTATTCGATGCATTCATAGTTGTTTTAACATGTGTTTGTAAACTTGAAGTTTAGAAAAAAAAAATATTAGTCATAACTTTTTATTTAATTTATTATTTATTTTAAACATTTCAACATTTTAATAGAGAATAAAGTAGGTTCATATGTGATTTTATTTATCTATATTAGATTAAAGAAAAATAAAAGATTAATTATTTTGTAGTAGATAGCAAAGTTTATTTCAGAAGCGTATTTCGTATGTAAGTAGATAAAATAAGATAGATGTCCTTTATTTTATCTTCAAAACATTAAAGTAATATATTTTGTAAAACAAAAATTGCAAGAAAAAGCTCACACAGAAAAAATAATGGGAGATTTTATCATTAAAAAGATCTCTTTAATTTGAGCAAACTTTTGGATTGAGAGGAGTAATTACAAATAGTGTTAAAGTACATATATAGCAAAACGTTGTAAACGAGCATAGTAAAATAAGAATATAAAATTAATATATATTTTTTTTAAAAACGTACAATAAAAAAAGTGTAATTAAATTGTGTATCACAAAAAAATTACTTCTATTGTGGACAAAACAGTTGTTTTGATTTGAAAACTAAACCTCTTAACCGATTTTAGATGTAAGACTAATCTATAAGTATGTTCTTTCAAATAAAACAATATTTTTTTTAAATCGGTTTAAAATTGACGGAGTTATAAGGTAACAAACATAAAAAAAATAGAATCAAATTAAGAAATTTCTTCTTCTTGAAGTCGATTAAAATATGAAATTATCATTGCAAAATATGTGTTTTTAATCATTTTAATAAAAAATAATAATTTTTGTGTCATTGCTTTGCGCTTTTCGTAGGAATACATCATATGGCTAAGCAGTATTTCAAAGCCGGTCATCCACCTTTAACTAATGACACGATAATGTGCTTAGAGCGAATGGGTGCCGCCAGTAACAGTAAACTTGAAGATAAACTTCACCCACTGTTCATGCCTTTTTTACCTAGCTCCCTCAACGGTCTGTTTGTTCTGAATGCATAGGCAATGAGTCAGTCGAGCATACAACAGATAAGTTTAGAGGAAACTGCGATAATTGTTTTATTGTGTTAGGTAAAATAACCATTATGATATTAAATAAAGAGATTATCATCTTCTTACCATACTTAGAGATATAGTAAATTTACAGTGTACATCAGTGCTTAGTAAATTCGAAAATTTACAACAATTATGCACAAATTATGTGAAATCAGAACAATAAAATAATTTACTATTCACCATATAACGTACAGGTGAAGCAAATAAAGCATATTATCTATTTTACACTCATTTATTAGTCATTATTAATTTAAATTGTTAAGTATAATAACTTTATTATCTATAAAGTAGTGATTTTGAGCAATATTTTTTAAATTTATTATATTTTACAATAGACGCAACAATTACTTAAATATTTTATTATGACTATTTTATTATGACCTAAAATCAGTACTTCTTCATTAGGCTATTTTATATGTATCTATATAATGTGGCACTACCAATAGATAATAGGTAAAAATTGTCTTAAAAATAATTTATGAATTTAGAAAAATAATATCACCACAACATTGACATATCTATATTTTTTTTATTAATTACTAGTAGGGAATTATATGATAATAATTATAAGTTTATTCATTGCAAACTTTTCAATTATGTACTCATTTAATTTGAAATTATTTCTGTATTAGACACTTACCAATTGAATATAAATTGATAAAACTTTAACACACATTTTATAAATCAAACTGATATGAACTATAAAATAAATACAAATAAACTATCGCGGCACAGTTTTATATGCGAAATTTTGTCCGAATGTGAAGATGACACATTCGCGTGAGAAGGGCGTGCGGTCGACGCACTGCCCGTGCAGACAACAAGTGGTATGGTGTCCATTATAACGGGAATTTAATCAGGAGTCCTCCGTGCGGGCACCTACCTACTTACTTTCCAAGATTGCTCTTAAAATATTAAATATTAGCGCCATCTATTGAAATATCTCTACATTTTGAGTTACCGATTCATTTCATCGATTTTTGTGTGGTATAAACAATATTGTTGACTATAGAGTACATCACTAGCGAAACAATCATGGCCTCATGGCTCTTTGACACTTGCGTTTCCGATAAATCAACACAAAACAATTTAAAAACACTTTTAAACAGTGAATTTACATTAAATACCAATACGGACGTAAACTACGAGTCTGTAGAAAAGAATTTTGGAGAATTTGAAGCTAGTTACGACTTAAAACTTTCCCAAGAAAATGTGACGTCGGAAAACAAAACATCACACAAGAATACGAACTTTGTTAATTTTAATGGATTGTTATCGTAAGTTTTATCGGAAAGATGGAAATTCTCATTCCTGTGATTGTTAAAATATGAGTTTATGTGGAATGCCGCCTTTTCTACTGTCTTATTAGTTATTCAATCAGCTGTTTGTCAATATATATTTGTCTCGTTCTTACAAGTGTAATTGTATATATGTGGTCTTTTTCGCATAGTTTCATTTTTGGGCATTCTATTTTGGTACATTACCATCATGATGTGATGTTATCCTAATTTTGTGTTCCAAAAGGAATACAGTAGAGTGGCGAGCGAGAGGTAACTGATACTTTAACTAATAACAAGTTTTATAACCTATAATAAACAAAAAAATTTTATACACATTTGAAATTTGTGTCTACTACAAGATGCAGGTACTTATCTAGATTACTTTGTATACATGTCTCTACTCTTTCAAATTTTTTTTAATATTAGAAATTTAGTTTTCTATTTACAACATACAAGTAAAATATTGTGTTCTTTTTGGGACTGCGTCATGAAATCCTCAATAAAACACCCATAGACAAGTCAACATCAATACCATGATTAGTACCTTGATGAAATTTGAATCAATTCCATAGTATCCTTTTCTATCTCTAAAATAAAATTTCAATTTGATGTTATAACAAAACATTTATTCTAAGGACCATTTATACAAACTTATTTTTAATAGAATTGTGTCAAAATGGCTTTATTATTTAATTCTCAATGGTCTGTACCATAATAATTGCCAAATTTCCAAATTTAAATTGTAATTTTATAGATTAGGATTTTAGTTTAGAATCTACTCTATAGTTTGTATTAGCTATATTTAAAAAAATATGTAGAATTTTTTTATAGATATATAGATAATTAAAAAAGTAAACCTTAATATTTTTATATCAATTCACAATAATGTAATAAATAACGAAGTATCAAATTATTATTAAAAAAAAAAACAGTGTTCATAAAAAAAATTAAATAGTGCAATAAGACTCTTATTAGATTGATATTTTGGAACTTGTTGAAAAAACTATTTGAAAGTTTCAAGTTTATTGCTAAAAAAGAAATGGTAACCATTTTATTATATGATTAATATTCTTAGCATATCTAAGTTGATGCAATTAGTTTTTGCGTGATATTATATTTGAGCAAATGTACAGACATACATTTTAATAATTATTATTTTAGTTTCTATTGTTCTTATCAAGACCTCACACTATATAAGTTTTTTTTTAATATTTTTTTTTTTTTATATTAGTAAGAAAGGTTTTTACATAGAAATAAAAGTAGAAATTTAACTAATAAATCATCATCATGTCAACCATTAACTGTCCATTGCTGGACATAGGACTCGGCCATTGCGCCTGCAGTTAGGCTTTGGTAGTGTTTTAAGAGGAACGCAGCTGGCATCCCTTAACCATTAAAATCCCATAATCGCTTCTTACAACACCTATGGGAATGGAAGGGGTAGCTTTTCTATGCCGGGACCATACATCATGTAATAAATAGTGAGATTTTGCTAATGAAACATGTGTTTAACAATGTGGATGCAAACTTAAACATTTCAATTTTTTCCAGTCATGATGAACCAGCTTCGGATATGTCAAAGTGTGAGATTACAAAAAGCATGGAAAAGAGCAACCGTAAGCAAGAGGAGCATGCAGCGAGATACAGATGTGAGCACGACGGCTGTGAGAGGACATACAGTACTGTGGGCAACCTAAGGACTCACATGAAAACTCACAAAGGTTTATAACTTTTCTTTTAATTTTAGAGATAATAATCTTTTGATGCTAAAGTAGGTAAGGTAGTATATAAATACAATTACCTGTTCTGACTGCTGGCTCCAATAGTACTTATTTTAATCCAATTATATTTATGTGCTACTCCTTTCCATCCAAAGGTTGCCTGGAAGAGATATCTTTTAGTGATAAGGTGGCTCATTGTTTTCTCATTGTAATTGTTTGTATCTATAATAATTTTACTACTGTAATCCTTTGGAAGAAGTCTACCCTTGTCACTTAGATTAATTCAGTTTCTTATCTGTGTTTTCCATTATCTGAGATTTAGACTATTTTTTTTGTTGGTCTGCTTTGAATTCATAACCTTCGAGGTTTATAAGTCTAAGTTAAAGCAACCTTGTTACTGACAACCTAGTAGGACGAGAAAGGAAATGTCACTAATGGGGTCTAACAGACTTGTTGCTAGAAATATACTCTATCAGGTTGATCTTCATGCAGTTGCTCTGCAAACCATCATGGTTAATTCTTGTGGAATTTAGGCTAACTGACTTGCATTCATCCTCTACTGCCGTCTTGCACTGATGCCGTGCCAGCGTATACTGATAATACAGGCAGGGTTACTATTCCGTTTTCACCCATTTAAAATAAAACCTAGTACAAGTATAATGATAAAATTTATTGTAATGATGAATTGGTGATAGATAAGTATGACTTACTACCTCGATATATATTGCCTTGCCTATGTTTTTTTTTTTATTTCCTTTAGGTAAATTGTGGTGATAATGTATTAATGACAGTTTAATTGGTTCTGGTATTTAAAAATAATTTTACATACATACATACATACATACATACATATCTGTCACGGCTGACTCCCATTAGGGTAGGCTGAAACAATGGACTTTAAATAAAAAATAATTTTAATTATTAATATTTTTTTTAATATTTTTGTTTTTTCTATCTAGATTTAATGAACGTTTTGATATTCGTTGATTTAACGTTGGCACGGACAAATTTGACCACCACTATTACTACCAGTAGTTCCAGAAGTGATGGTCAATCTTCGAGTGTCAGTTTTCTTTTTACCATTACTGTGTCTGTGACTGCCAATTCTTCGAGTTGGCAGTTACACACATACTAATGAATTAATTGAATAATACTAAATAATTCTAATCAAATAACTAGTGAAATGAACTTCCACAAGATAATATCTAGTTTAGTAAAATGCCCATGGTTCTGTTTATGTCTACAGGCGAGAGCGACCACTTTCATCAATTGGGCACTCATTGCCATTCCAAATTGAGTAAAGTATCATATTATTTTTTATTTTTGTGCCAGTTTCTACCAAATATGAATGGTTTTTATTTATGCATGTTTTATATTTATATAAAGATATTTACGCCGCAGAGGCGACTATTGCTATGTATGTCTAACTTCATAATTAATTCGTACGATAACAAAAAATATAATTATAAGATATATGTATTACTCTTTATAAAGCAATAGATTAAAGGCATTTTTAACTAGAGATTTTTTAAATAGGCCCATGAATCGGTCGGCTCTGTTGTTTTGTAAATAGAAAATTGTCCTTCTAAATAGTCTCCACTGAGCAAACATGTACCTAAAGTACAGTGTATATTTATTCTTATTAAACGATTATGAACAAGCGTGGCAACTACTGGCAAAACCCTCTACGTCGGGTTTTTTATTCTCTTGAACAAGCCCCTATCTATATAAAATCCTGTATTGACATTGTTGTTCACGCTAATCTCCGAAACCGTTCGATTGATTTTAATAAAATTTTATATATTATATGTGTAATTTCTGTTTCAACTTTAGAGAAATAAGGATCCCTAAAAATGGAGATAGTACGTGGTAATAATAATTTAAATCCTTTAAAGCAGGTATCATAGAATTTTATTCTGAAACTCCTATTTCATTGAGCCTATTGCGAATATTTTTTTTTATTTATTTATCTAATATTCTTATTTATGTATGTAGATGTTACTTTTACTTTTAGTTTAGTTACTTTTTATTGTATTATATATTTAATTTCAACTAGGTATTATTAAGTTTTATCCATATTTTTTTTATACAACTTAGAATGGCAAACAAACTGACGGTCCACCTGATGGAAAGTGGTAACCGTCGCCTTTAGATGTGAGCAGTACCATGAACATAACAGAGTATACTGTTTCGCCCATGATACCCCCCATGCGTTGCCATTCCTGAGGACTCGGGTGTTATTCCTCTGTACCCAGTAAATTCACGCCATATCCCACCCTTCAAACCGAAACACAGATATGCAAACACAACTGCTTCACGGTTGAAACTCGAATAGTTTTTACCCTTGAACATTCCATAGCTTTCTTTCAGCTTTTCAAAGGTTGACTGTAAGATATCCTATGGGATAAGTCTGCCATTGTATATTAAATCTTTTAATGTTTCCAATGTAAATTATGCACAATAAAGATTTTACAATACAATTTATGTAATTTTAATTTTTTTAGGTGAATACAGGTTCAAATGTCCAATGCAGACATGTAATAAGGCATTTCTCACATCGTACAGTTTGAAAATACACGTTCGCGCGCACACTAAGGCGAAACCATTCGCTTGCACGATGGGCAACTGTAGGAAGGCTTTCAACACATTATACAGGTCTGTATGATTAGTATTGAAAATATTTAGTATCGTTTTTTATTTTATTTTTTTTTATTAATAGAAAATGGTATCGGGTCGTAAAAAGAATCGAATTCTAAATTCGCCCTATACTTTTTAATTTTTAAGTATATCGCACAACTCTTCGTCAATTCTGAATTGATTTTGATTTTTTTTTTTGTTTTGTTGTTTTTTTTTTTTTTTATAATTTCAAGATTCCATAGAAAGATGAAGTGTCGTCGCGATTTACATGGCATCTTTTATATTTGTTGTTAATGCTAATTTTTCCATTGTTTCTGCCTACCCTAATAGGAAACAAGCTTAAAGGTTATGTATATATGTATGCTCTCGTATTTACGTGGTGGACCTTCATTAATTATATCATCTTTTTAAAAGCAGAATCTTACACAGAATTATAAGCACAGCCAATTTTAAAGAAAGAGAACGGACGAGTTTCTCATTTTAAATGTTTGTATCACAAAGAGTTAAATGACGAAGATATCGCCGACTAAAAACTATCTGTCTGTCTTTGTACCAAATTTCATTCAAATCAGATCAGCCATTTAAATATAACAAATAAACAACAACAGTAATAAATACCATAACGTCTTTTTAGACTCACGTAATATAAATAGTACAGGAAGTGGATGTATTTTTGTACTTCAGTACAGAATCTAATTAGTGTGTAGCTGACTCTCTCTTGGACGGATTTTTTTTTTAAATATTATACAACACATCAGTGTGATTAATTGTATTTTGTTTTATTTAGCGTACACTGACAATATTACAAACGTTGATACAAATATGAAAAACATCACGCATGTGATGGCAATAGGCAATCATTTACATTTATCTGGAAATGGGCCAAACTCGTATTTTGTTCGAAACAGAGCAATCAAATCAACTGTCACGCCAGTTTACACTATTGTATGCTTTACTTGTTTTGATTTAAGATCTCAAATTGATATAATAGAATTATTCGAATTGTTAAAATATTTACAACGTTGATTTCGTAATTTATTATTTTGTTCCACAAAAAAACGGACGTCAATCTTCACGGAATGGAACCAACATTAAAGTAAACACATTATATTAATATAAAGATTATCATCTTAATCGATCCAGGATGGGTGAAGATAGCGTGTGGCATAAATTGCGACTTCATACATACATACATATCTGTCACGCCTGTCTTCCATTAGGGTAGGCAGAAACAATGGAACGCCAAATGCTTCGATTCATTCTTGCGACTTCAGTCTTGAGAAAATTTGTATAGAATCAACATGAGCATAAATAACCATTACAGTAAAAAAAAAAAATGTAACTTTATAACAATAACGGGATTGACTTATGTCAAATATTTTTGTCGAAAATTCTCGACTAGTTTTGGGACCATTCGGGGTCATTAATCATGATCGCCTGTGATTCAAGCGCGAGCTTGAAATAACAGCCTATTATTCTTACTGGTAAAAATATTTAATAATAAAAATAGATTGTGATAGATACATAAAAAATATAGTCGAATTATAAACCCTTTTTTGAAGGCAGTTGGAGTTGATTTACTTTAGACAGTACTGAATATAGTATATTCAGTGTCTTGTAATTAATATACGAGTGGCAGTTTACTTTTTTAACCGACTTCAAAGTGAAGAAGGTTCTCAAATGGGTCATATTTTTATATGTTTGTTACCTCATAACTCCGTCAGTTATAAATTGATTTGAAAAAATTCTTTTTTTATCTGTAAGAATATATTTACGGATCGGTACCGCTATTGACACTACCATACATATTTTATTAAAATCAGTAGTTTAGTTTTAAAATAAAAATTAGTTTTGCCACAATTGATGTCGGTTTTTTTTTCTTTTTATTGGTTATAGCGTGAATTTACAGGGTACAGAGGAACAACATCTGAGTCCTCAGGAATGGCAACGCGTGAGGGGTATCATGGGCGAAACAGTATACTCTTGTTATGTCCATGGTACTGCTCATGTCTATAGGCGACGGTTACCACTTTCCATCAGGTGGGCCGTCAGCTTGTATACCATTCTAAGTTGTATTAAAAAAAATACAATCTTAAATTATACGATATCGTACTGCAATGTCTTTTAACATTTTTTTTTTCACAACATCTCACAGTACAGTTACTGTGAGGTTGTCCAAGTCAAATTTAAATCATCTTTATTTAAATAGACTCGTTTACAAGCACATTTAAGTACTCATTTATTTTTTAAATCTACTGCAGGGCTCAAAAGTTGTTATCTATTGAGAAGATCTCGCAAGAAATTCAACAATTACACTTTTAAAATATTTTGTTTAATTCCGCTACCATTAGTATGTGTGTGACTACATACTAATTGTAGCGGAACTAAACAAAAGAATTCTCTTAGTTCAGTACAATATTTTATCGAATTAATATTTTACTATTTAGTATTTTATTTCTACGGTGTTAGTGACCTATCACCCGCACAGTGCTACAGCGCTCACAGTGAACTATAATTAATTTGAGAAATTATCTAATAGATCTTGGCATTACTACGTTTATTCTGAGGGCCACCTGTTGTTTGTCATTGTATCATGCCAGGATTCTTATCTCTAAGATCAAGACCTTTATGCCAGTTAGTGTTACATAAATAAATAAATACCATTGAACATTATACAGTGCCGTGTAGCTCCGAACTAAGCACAGCTATGGATGTTAGACGTCATCATCATTATCATTTCAGCCATTATTTGACCACTGCTGAACATAAGTCTCCCCCATAGACTGCTATAAGGAACGGTCCTGAGACACCGACTTACTTCCTGCAATAAAATTAAGGTCGTCACTCAATCTAGAGGGGGGGGGGGGGTTGTCTTATACTGCATTTGCCGGTACGGTGTCACCACTCAAGAAACTATTTCGGTGTCTTTGGATTTTTTGCGTATATCCTCGTTTGGGATTCTGTCATGCAAAGAAACTGGGCATAGCCCTGTCCATAATTTGCTGAATAAATTAAAATTTGTCCATGCTACTACTCATGTGTATAGGCGACGGTTACTACTTTCCATCAGATGAGCTGTTAGCTTGTTTGCCATTCTAAGTTGCATAAAAAAAGTTCTTTTTTTTTATACGAGCAACAGTGTAGGACCATGTTTCGGTTCCATAAGTCATCACTGGCATACTGGATACTAGATAACTGAAACTTAATTTTTTTCTCTAATTCAAATACATATACGTAATACATATGAAGTGCCCAGACCAATACAAACATACTTATTAATACAAATGTTTGTATTGTGTTGGTGTGGGAATCGAACCTGTGATCAACGCAATGTAAAACAATGTGTTAAACCGTTAAACCACGAAGGTCGTTATCACATTAAGCCTATCTTCAAATCTTAACGGATATTTTTTACGATTCGAATCGGTCGAAATACGGAAGTAGAATGTGTGTCAGTGCAAAAATAAAAACGACATAAATAAATAAATAAAGGTCTAAAGAAAAATTCATCAAAATCGATCTCAAAAATGATGCTTTAAAATCGTCACGCAGAGTATAAATGTCATTAATATTATAAACTAGCTACTCGCCATCCTACTTTGGCAATTGCAAATAACAACAAATAATTTGCCAAATACGTTTTTAGGCCAAATATGTGTAACTGATTTAATGTAATGTGACACCTATCGAAAGGAAAAATAAGCGTCCAAATCGATCTACAATTGGCGGAAGTGTTATTGGAAATCCATTTAAAATAATGTTAGATTTTGTTCCACAAAAAATCACCGGCTTTATTTAAAAGTTAAACTACTGATTTGATTTTGACAAGATTTTTGAAAATATGAGTATATCCTTGATAAAAAAAAATCATTTTCTAAATTGGTTTATAAATAACGGATTTCTGAGATGACAAACCTCCTCCTTTTTTAAAGTCGCTTAAAAATTCACTGCCATTTTATATTATACAGACATAACTAGAAACACGATATGTAGATATCACGCCGTGATAGTAATATGTATCACGTTACATATACGGGCCGCCCGCTTTCATAAAGAGTGAAATTGTAATTAATACAGGAACAGAAAGTGAAATTATAAAGGCCGTCGCAAACGGCGCAGACGTTGTTACAATTATATTTGTAACTAGCGATTCGGTCTGGCTTTGCACGGATAAATAGAATATTCAAAAATAATACATAGCCTATATATATTACTCGCTGATAATGTAGTTTAACCATAATGTAGTTTAAATAAATGTAGTGTAGTTAAGTGTAGTGACCTATTGTATTCCGAAACCACATGGACGACAAATTTATTTTATATTTCAAAACATACGTGCATATATTTTGAAGTTTTAGCTGACTTTTTTTTTAATAGACACCATAAGGTTCACCCCTTTGTTGTTTCCATGTTATTTCTATTATGAAACTTTTTCAGTGCGAAATGTCTTCGTGTTAATTTTTTTTTATAAAGAGACTATTAATCTATTCTATCTATCGTTATAGGTTACGAGCACATCAGAGGTTACATAGTGGAGACACGTTCAATTGTCAAGCGGATGGATGTTCTAAGTTCTTTACGACGCTCAGCGATTTGAAGAAACACATACGCACACATACACAAGAGAGGCCATATAAGTGAGTTCGTGCTTAAATTTTAATTCTCTGTGACCTTTGGATTTCTTTACAAATAATGTTTTTTTTTATGGAATGACGCTTATGACCTACCTAATTAAAAGTGGAAACAGTCGCTTATCTATAGCACTTTAGATCTAACAGAACATTCTAGACGCCCATGGCACCCCTCATTTATTGCCAAAAACAATTGCTTGGCGGCAGTATTACGAGTGAGATAAAGGATGCATTTATTTGCACCTGTCTTGTGAATTATTGGGAATTATTTTTATCGAACCCACGCTAGTTTTTTATCCCTGGTTTGACATGATGATGATGAAGCCAGCTGTTAACTGACTACTGCTGAAAATAAACTTCCCCTTTGGGGGTTTTTTTTTTTGATGGGTGAAAATGGTATGGTAGCGCTAACGGGATACGCTGGCGGAGCACCAGTGAAGGGTGATAGATGAGAATAAAAACAGGCCAGTTAGCCCATCATGATGAATTCATCGGGAATTTACCATGATAGTTTCCAGGTGGAACCGCGAGGAGGTCGACCTGGTTGGGTATATTGCTAGCAATGGGATTCTCAGTCTCCATTACTAACAATCCCTTCCCCCCCTTTGGGGGGTTTTACCAGTAACCAGCCACCTAAATGTTTATATTTAGGTGTAGGAAAAAGACTCCGGATCCTGAACCTTTAATTGTCTCCTATGGAGACCATTAGAATATGAAGGTGTAAAGATAAAAAAATTAAGAACTATATCTCCCGTGTTACTTTTAATTGAGTTCGAATGAGTTAATAATGATAAAATATCATACAGATGCAGATCAGACGGCTGCGGCAAGTCATTCACGGCTTCGCACCACCTGAAGGCGCATTCTCGCACCCATCGTCCTCCTGCACCCGTCGCATCCAATCATCAGGTGAAGTGCAGACATTTTCTTTTATTTGCCTAGATTTTGTTTCATTTTTTTTTTGCAAATTGGAATGGCAAACAAGCTAACGGCCCACCTGATGGAAAGTGATAACCGTCGCCTTAAGACATGAGCAATACCATGGACATAACATAGATTATCATTATAAAAAATAATAAGAATATATGGGTTTTTACTATCATAAATATCATGACAGCAATTTCCAATATAGTAATCAATGGGAATTGCTGGAAAGGTTTTATTTGCAAAATGACAATTATAGAAATGGATCGAGAGTAAGCATAATTTAGACATACTATATAATTTATTTAAATTACAGCCAGAAGCAGAAAAAACCATAGTAAAAGCAATACCATCAGCGGCAAATAGTCCGACGAAAACGACAAAACCTACAAGCGACTGGCCGAACTGGGATGGTCTCTTAGAATCCTTCGGACGCATCACTACAGAATCCAATTCCACCGATGGCAGTTTAGAAGATATCGCTAGAGGAAATCCACTTAACAATAACGTAGACTTAACCGAACTATTTTTTGATAACGCTACTAACCAAACTAAACCTAATAACAGTCTAACCGATTACGAATTAACTAATTTAGATACTATATCTCCGTTCGATGTAGAAAAGAAGAAGGTTCAAGAAGATGCATGGGTTGATGTAACTGATTTTCAAGTAGCAGTGCCATTAGAGAATGAAATAGTTGGTGATAATAAAATGGAAGTTAAAACGAAAGCTGTACAATTGGCTTTAGCTAACGAGATTGAGGTACAAGCACCGTGGGTGGATGTCAGCGCTTTAGCATCTTCAATATCAGAAACGCCGGTCAGTATAAAAGAGAAGACACCGGAAAATATTTTCACTCTAGCAACGTTCGTACCGACACATATGCAGAGCTATATCGACTTGAATTCCGAAGTAACGCCAACAGCAAATCTCATGTCACAAAGCACCTTCCATTTAGATACTCCAAGCATACTAGATGTTGGTGATAAAGTTTTCAATGATAGCGAACTTGTAACTAACTTAGGACATAGCAAACTCGATTCTGTTATTGATAATTTGTTAGAAACTACGAATGATGATAGATCTCTCAATACTCCACCGCCTACTAAAGTGCAGCAAAATATAGAAATAAACCCAGCAAATTCTGTACTCTTCAATACAGAGTTGGCTCTTGAAGACACTTTATTGTTTAATAACGAGCCTCCATCCGATATGTACGTGGTGAGGACAGAAAACATATTTGGAAAGGAAATAGCTAAGAGGAACGCGTTAGAGCAGTTAGCGGCAGATGCTGGGATATGTTCGTGTTCAGAATGCAAATGTGATCCAAACAGTGAATGTGGGAAATGTTCCCAAAGAGAAAGCTCCTCTGGACCACAAAGTTGCACGGAAGATAAATGCTCGTGCATTGATTGTAAATGCAACCATGCGGAGATGAAGTGCGCTGTCGGATGCGGCCGGGCTACAGATACGAATCACAATACATTCTTACATTATCACCGTCGGCATAATAATTCAAATTTAGAAGAACTAGGTGTTTACACTATACATGAATGTGACCAAGATATGCCAGCTACCGCAATCATAGATAAATTGAAATGTTCGTGTAAAACCATAGATTCAAAAACTTGTAATGATTGCACCAATAAAAGTGCCTCTGATACGTGTTGTGACGAAGCCAACAATAATAGTAAGTCGTGTTGTGTTACAATTTGTTTTAAGAAACTCGACGCATTCAAACAGTTTCTATCTGATAACGATTTAATAGATGCTTTGAAAGCGCATAACTTCAATCTAACCACAAGCTTATAAGTAGTTGCTTTATAGACCGCTGCATTTAATACGTACAAAATTGAGTTCCTTGCAATATTTTATGTTTGCTATTAGTATTTTTTATTTTATTCTGTTGGTATGATTGAAACAGGGAAATTGTGTATAATACTTGTGATGCTTCTGTTTTATGTAGAATAGACTTGTTTTATTTCTATTATAATTTATTTTTTAATATGTGTAATGTATGCCCCTTTTAGGCATAAATTACTTATTTGTTATTGTGGTGTTTTGTTATAAATGAAAAGTGCTAATGCCAGATTTACGTTTACTTTAAAACTATATCCCATTACAATACGAATTAAAGCATTTTAATTAGCTATTTAAGTGCTACCCTCTTATCGATAAAGCTCTTGCCACTTAATACTATTTTCAGTGAGTCTCTTCACCTCTTGATACGACACGACACCAACTTTTTCCTTGATCTCCCTTATGCTTCAATGTAATAAACATTGGAAAATAGGTCAACAATATTAAAATTCTTAATATATACTAATTTTTACGTATTATTTTAAATTATTGTTGGATTGAGCCAAGGAATTGATGAAAATTATGGACGATTTATTTTTATATGTACGTGTTAATAATTATAAATGTTTCTATTATTTATTTAACAAATATCCAAAGGATAATGCCAAAACTAATGAATAAGTATTTGTTTTTTTTTTTTGTTAATAATAAAAAATGTTTAACGTCTAATAAATATGCCTACAGTATTTCATACTTATATTAAATGCGGCTTATGAACTAACATGGTATTATATTATTTATTTTAAAAATACTAATTTTATTAATATTTTGTCACATATTTTGTAACATGGATGATGTCAGGGTTTAGTTATATTAAAAATGGTTATCGAATTAAAATATTATGACGACTAAGAATATAAACTTCTTAACAAGTTGCAAGTAAGTCTATTGATAGAACCGTTATCGCAAGCGAATTCATAGGATAGAATGAGATGACACGTGTGTTGTCTTGTTCTTTCCTATACGAGCTAGATACTAATTAAAATGATGCTATCGACAGATTTTGCTACTCATAGGTACAGAGGAGTAGTTTGAATACATTTTTGTAAAATTGTAAAATCTAAACAAAAGAAAATATTAACCCTAGAACTACTAACCGGAATAGATATCTAATTCAGGCAAACTGAACTGAGTTCTTATGTTAGTTACAATCTTCAGAGTCCCAAATGAGTAGACTTATTCATCATGTTTTTCTTCAAAGTTTGTGTCCTCTTTGAAATCCCCTTTGAAACTCGGTTATTTAGAAAAATAGTTATACATTTTTGTTTATTATATGATGGTTGGACCGTCTTTCACTATTAGCTATTTAAATAGATTATTCACTAACCTCTAAACCTTGGTAAAAATTAATTTGCTCTTGGCCATAAAAGAACAAGTAAATTCATGTATTTATGATTCAGATTACTGCTCTTAATGACTTTACGACGAAGAAACCTTTTAGGAGTAAATATTTACCTCGGTTTGTAATTTACAGGTAAAAAAATGGGTTTGTAGTTCCAGGGTATATTTGGATGGATAAATTTATTTGCATGAGTATAGATGTATGCAAATAAAGCCTATTCGCTATCTCTCTCTTGTTATAAGGACTTAGAGATGCCTACGTATACCTATGTTACCTATCTGTTTTTTAAATTTCTGCACATAGTATGATACTCTGTAATTATATAAAATTTGGAAAACAGATGGCACTTATTATTGTAGTTGGTATTTTTTCAATTACAATATATTTACATTTTCGAAGCAAAAGATATCATGATTAATAATAACAATAATTTTATTGCATAAAAATTGTACTTAATTATATTAAATGAGAATAAAGTATTGAATTCCTTTATTGTGTTAAGTAGATATTGAAGACGATTCTGAGAAACCACAATGTAAATTTCTGTCTAAAATTAAAATTCTAATTTGATAGTTTAGCAAAACTATTATCATTAGTGTTACAGGCATCCATAGGTTACAGTGACCGTTTACCAGGCTATATGCCACTTTTCTGGTATAAAAAAAAGAATGGGCCATCAAAATTCAAATGTACTTCGGGCACAATTTTACTTAAAATTAGTTTACCAGTATGATCCAATATCAATTAAAATATTAACTTTAGTGATAGTGAATGATACTTCAGATCAACTCTATTGTATACAACGATATCAAATAAATATATTTACTTGTTGCTGACTTTTATATAGATATATATTATTTTTATGTTACTTGCCATAATCGAGGCAATCTTATACTGTTTGCCATTCGAGTGCCATATTTTAATGTAATTTGTTGTGATCAAATACGTCTAGATGGGAAAAAATAGCCAATTGTGGGCTGTTTGTTTTTTTCATTCATTTTTTTTGTCAGTTTGTATTAGTTGACGGCTTGTGTAATATAAGTTACCAGTTACTAGATTTATACATTTTATAAGCGCGCTATTTTGATAAAAGTAGGCTGTTTTTGTCGAAGCATTTGTATAGAGGTACTCCATCTAGATGATGTTGATCTTATAATCTGTATATATGTTAAGAAAACACAATATGTGCTATATTTAGCTATTGATAGTTTTATCTTGTGTAGTTTTAAGTGAATTATGACTGGTTTTAGTCATTTAAGTGCATATTTTATGTATAACAAGATAAAACTATACTCACAAACTAAAAAAAATAATACGCAATTACTTATGAACTCTTCGATAACTGTATGAAAAGGATCGCAGGGCGTAACAAATAAAAATCTAGTGAAAGTATTCATAAGAAAGGAGTCCAGTTGTAGTCTAAATATAATTGAACAGTGAAGGAAGAAAGTAATGATATTTGCTGCCGGAGTCAAAGAGCTTCATCAATTGAGTTAAAAATTCTATAATATTTTTATAGAAGATTATCAATTATCTACATCTTGTATATATTGTTCTCTTATATCAACTTTTAATATCAATTCATTGATATAGATATATTTTTTATTTATTAATACTTTGGCTAGAAACCAAGCCTAAAAAGTTATAATTAATAACAAAAGACAGCTGAATACAAAATAGTAGTACAAGATTTACATACGTACTTAATTATACCTATCGATATTTTGAATAGGTAAATCTAATAATGCAATATTTCTATTTTTACGACATTCGAATTTTGAATTTATAATATTTTTCTTTTTAGAGTGTCTTTTTTTTACATATTTTTCCTTTTAGAGTGCCCTTTTTTACTAATATTTAGCAAATAAAGGTTACAAATATTTTTTTACTACAATTAAAAAAATATTAAAAGAATTATATATAGATAGGTGTGCAATGTTTTATACCATTTTTTTTTTTTTGCGAATTGTCTAGTCATTAATTTTATCTTATCTATTTTGAAAAAACAGTTTTCAGGCATGTGTTTTATATTTGGTTGTGTAAAAGCTTCTAAAACATAATTCTCAATAACATTCGTTAAGAAAGTTGCAAATTAAGGAAAGTTAGTAGAATTTCACAAATACTATCACTAGATTTTGTTTTTTTTATGGCCCTTTCATTACATTGTATTTTATTATATGGGTCAGTGCCTTGCTCTGATAACTTAGTGATATTGGTGCCTTAATTGTTGTTATTGTACTTATGTTGTGCTTAAAATGTACAATATGTTGAATAATTTTATAAGAGATTTTCTATTAGTTTAACAACCAGCAATAATAATGTAAACTGTAAGTTTCTAGTCCGTGTAACAATAAAAAGCTTTTTAAATATGTTTCAATATTTTTATTTTAATACCATTATCCAAATACTAAACATACTGATAAAACCACCGAGATCATATACGTTACTTACAATAGAAAATTATAAATCATATTTATCTATCTCAAAATATAAAAACCTCAATAATAAGTACTAACGCTAAATTACAACCAAATTTATTCATAAATTGAAATGGCCATATTGCCAATTTCTGTACAGCATAGACAAGAATCATTTTGTTAGCAGAGGGCAGAATTGTCTATGATTTTAATAAAATGTGCATGGCTGTAGTATGCAAAATTGCTTCTATGAGACTAAAAATGTATGTACAGGAATGTAATATCCCCAGTATGTGCAAGCCTTAAAAAATGTGTTTACTACACTAACACTATTACAATACAAATACTATTTATACTTATTATCTATATTTTACCTTTTTGCATTGGAAAGCATCTATTTTTATCTTTCTTACATTGTCAATTTGACCGAAACATTGAGATTAACAAATGTGCAAAAAAATATAAAGTTATTACCATTAACAAATAACAATCCATTAACAGCCGTATGGTCCCGGCATAGAATGGGCTACCCTATCCTTTTCCATAGGTGTCGTAAGAGGCGACTAAGGGTACTTAATGGTTGAAGGATGGGCCCTCTTAAAACCACCAAAGCCTAACTACAGTTGCCAACCTGCCTGCCTAGCACCCCGACTGACAAAACCCCCATATGGGGGAGGCCTATGTTTAGCAGTGGACAGTAAACAGCTAATATGGTACGGTAATCCATTAATGTCCCATTGCTGGACCTCATCTAATGAGAATACAAAATACAAAGCATGCTGCAAAATAGTCATTAGATTAGCAAACTTATTACTAAATTGATTTGTGACATGTTTTAGCTGCTGTACAATTTTTTTTTTTTTTATTTTGCCATTTCATTTGCTAATTTGTTACTTCTATAAGATCAATAATAATAAAAAATGTCATTTATAATGAGCAAGTATGTCATTTGAAACTAAATCTAAGAAATTAATTATGTATGGAGATATAATCAACAACCAAATTTTATTTTAGTGACTATTTTAACTCCATTGTCCTCTAATTTTTTTTACCTATAAATATTAAGAGTCTTTGATCATATTTGGATACTTTTTACTTTTGATTCAATCAATCATAATCACATAAATTATTATGAAATATACAATATTTGAGATTGAGGACATGGTTTCTTTTTATAGCAAAAAAGTCATGTATTAAAAAAACGAGTTAGGTATAATGTGTATTCATCTTCATGTCCTCCACCTCAGCTAACGTCTTTTCTTCTTATCATGGCGCCGGGTACGTGACATGGTAGCTCGGTGACCTGGTGATGACTGTTCAGAACTGCATTCATCACTATCGGTGTATGACTGAAATGGGTGAAATAAATTTAAAGGTTATTATGAATCTAGAAACAGAAAGGGGTGAAATAGAAATATTTTTATATCCAATATATACTAAATTTTAATATTTTTTTTAATAGTTGTTTTTTTATGATTCTGCAACTTATATTATCATAAAATATACAGGACCTCTCATAAACTCCCTAAATCTTTGATTAGCTTCCCAACCAATGTGACTATGTAATATTTTATCATACTAATTTCACCAGTTTTAATTTATTACAGGTATTTTTGTAAAATTAATACCATTTGCAAGCAACTATTATAGTTTTCCAATGTAAATTTGGGTAACATATGTATTGTGTTAGAATTACATGTTATAGACTAGCGATTTCTAAAATGGGTTCTGTGAAACTTCAGGGTTTCGTAAAAAAGTCACCAGGACTCTGCAAAATTACTTATACAGTGAAACAATTTCATTCTTCACATTAAAAAATAAAGGAGAACTATTTTTGTTATTTAGATTACAGTGTTCTTGATTTGTAATCATTTGAAATGGAGTTCCATAAAATAAAGGGTATTTGGTGGGCATTCCATTATCTTAAAAGTTTGGGAACCCCTGTTATTAAAAATAATAATAAATAAAACATATAAATTCACCCTGAATTTCTGATTCAGGGTAAAATAATGATTATTAGATATTAGCGATATGACCTGGCTTTGTACAGGTAGACAGAAATACAAGTTAGTATTTTATTATTAGTAAATTACCAATAGAAGCAATATCAAAGCTTTTCTAGAAAATAATACCGTTATATTAAATTATATATGTATATATATAAGTAGAGAGTATTAGATACAGTAAAACTGCTAAAAATTCAGCTGTATATTCTGCTAGCACAATGCAATTAGAAATATATTCCATTTTTTATTTTACTATATTGAATCAATTACATTACGTAACACTGTTGATGTAATAAAATTAATAAATGTATTATGGTCCATTTAAAGAGAACTTAATGAAATAATAAACAAATAAATGGTCCATCATAAAACAATCTGCTGATGTCCAAGACATTGTAGTATAAATAAAAAATAGATTAATTCATCATTTCAATTTGTTGCTAATTTCATTCATTGTTTCTGAGATAATCTCGACAAAATCACTTAGTTTTTTAGTATATATTGAAATAGCGCTATAATTATAAGTAACCGATACCTTTTCGTACGGATGAGGTTCGCTTTGTTCGTCTGTAAGCGTTACACATGCCAATAAACATATTAGCTGGAATGCTGCACCAATGTATAAGCCATAACGAATTACAGTACTCATTAAATCTTCAGCAAAAATCTCGTTAGGAATCATGTTTGCGGTAAATCAATAGTTGAGAGAACAGGTATAAATAAGACAATAAAATCGATACTAAGTTATGTACAATTTACTGTTGCAAAATGAACATCTACATTAATTTATTACATGTAGAAATTTAAGCCAATAATCATTAAATATGTTTTGATTTTATTACTAAGAAGCGTTGCTTTCTCGTACACTTTTTCTTGCCTTAATTTATTTTTTATTTATATCATAGAGTACTGTCAGTCACAGACTGACTGTCATTTACTCATTATATCATTTAAGAGTCAGTACTGCACTATATACAGACGAAACTGGAAAAGTTATCTATGTAACTTAAGGGAAACGGGTTGATAATAAATGTGCTTGATATTGTAGTTCTCTTAATCTCGTCTTCATCAGTCGGAAAACATAATGATTATAAATGACAGAATTCTAAAACAAAACAATAGAAAATCAATATAAAAATATAAAAGACGGATTATGATGGCTAGTAATACGCCACACAACCATTAGAAGAATTAAAACAATGTAAATGGAAATAAATCTATATTTATAGTATTATAAAATATTTCTAATATGGTACTGTCTAAAATATTAATATTGATATAAATAATAACAAACCTATTAACTTTATACTAGTAAATTTCCATATTTAATAAACTGGTTGCATAAATTTATACAATTTTTTGGCCGTGGGACTGGCTAGAGCAAATCACCACTTTGACATTTACAATACGAATGACATCTTTCATATACTGAACTGACTGTCATTTTTTTTGGTTTATCTGACATCAAATAAGGCAAAAGGTCTTTACTGATGTAGCTAATGTATACATTTGTTTTATCAAAAAAAAAAAAAAATCTTTATTGAACACGTACGTGTGTTTTACTGAATTGTGATTTTGCGGATGTTCATATCTCCGATTAGTCGATTACAATTATTTTGTTTAATTCCGCTACCATTAGTATGCGTGCGATAGACAACATTTAAAGATTAACTATTTTTATTATTAGTAGAAATTATTCTACGACCTCCCATATTAATCATAAATCTACGACATTCCACACATAAAATATAACACGTGTTTCATCTCTAAACGAGCCATCGGAGTTGGCGCCAAACGGTCAATGATGTTGATCGTTCGGCGTCCAGACTGCGTATGCGTAATTTAAATTCACAGTATGTATAGGTTTTCATGTAGAAATATATATAATTAATAATTTAAACTTTTTGATAGTTTTTTATGGGTTAAAATAGAATGGCAATCCCGTCTGCGCCATCGGTATACACTGGCAGTCAGTGGGAGATGGTGGATGAGTATGGAAGCTGGTTTTTTTTAATAGGTGATAATGGAATGGCTTGCGCTATCGGTATACACTGGCGGAGTACCAATGGAAGATGACAAATGGGAATGAATGCAGGTCAATTGGCCCACCATGATGAATTCGGCAAAAAATAACCATGATGGTTTCCAGGGGAAACCGCGTGGAAGACGACCTGAGAGATTGTATTATTGGCAATAGGGCTATTATTTTTAATGGGTGATAATGAAATGCGCGGGTGAGGTTACTGCGCTATCGGTATACACTGGCGGGGCACCAGTGAGAGATGCTAGGTGAGGATGAAACAGGTCTGTTAGACCATCTTGACGAATTCAACGAGAATTGTTCACGTGGGTTTCCAGGGGGAACCACCTGGAAGGCGACCTGATAGGGTGTATTGCTAACAATGGGTTCATTAGACCTCATTACTAACAATCCGTTTTGCCCCCTATGGAACCTGGTTAGTCCAGGGGAACCGTATATTATAATAGGGTTGCTAATTCGAATTACTAACAAAGCCTTTTCCCCCGGTTAGTTAAGTAAGACCAATTGTGATTAGTTCATCAGCATTTTTTTTATACCACTGTGGTGGCAAACAAGCATACGGCCCACCTGATGGTAAGTAGTTACCGTAGCCTATGAACACCTGCAATACCAGAGATATTACGCGTGCGTTGCCGACCCTGAAGAAACCTCTTTACCCCCCTTTTGAAGAATCCCATACTGTAGTCTCTTGGGAAAACATCGGCAGGGAGCTCATTTCACAACCTGAGTGTTCGTGGGAGGAAACATCTCTGAAACCGCGCAGTACGCGACCATTGAGGTTGTAGGACATGAGGATGAATTCCTGTTGATGGCAAGCCGTACGATGGTAGAAAGTGACTGTGGGCATTATATTGAACAATTCCTTTGAGCACAATCCATTGTACAGGCGGTAGAACACGAAGAGCGAAGCAAAATCTCTCCTAAGACTTAAGGGTTCGATACCGCTTGTGAGCCTGGGAACATCGACAATTCTCATAGCTCGTCGTTGCAACGAGTCGAAAGGTTCAAGCTGGTATTTAGGTGCTCCGGCCCATAAGTGACAGCAATACTCCATGTGGGGCCGGATTTGCGGTTTGTACAGAATTAATCGCTGATCCGGCGTTATTTAAGCGTGATGGTTTTCAAGGAGGACTGCATGGCGATAAGATACAATGCTAGCAATGGGGGCTCTAGTGTTTACTACTAACAATCCCATCAGTTTCATTCACTCCACCCGTGACAGGTAGGTACCCTCCTTTGCTTTTATTCAGTTGCCACTTTGGATACACACAAAAGGATCAGTGCATGACTATTATTGTTCTGTTTGAGGACTTTCTTTTATGGACGTTATCTAAGAATTATTATTACATAGGCTTTCTCGTTTGTTAATGAAATAGAAAATTGATAATTGAAATTTATCGTATTAAGGTATACACTAGCAGCTCTACTCTTTAATGTCAATCCAATTATATATATAAATAATTTTATACGAATTAGGTAATAATTGGGATTGGTTTACTTCAAGAGTAACTCCACAGGTATCTCACAAATCAGAATAATGGGGGGCGGGGGGGGGGGGAAGGGGTTGTCAGTAATGGGGATTAGTAGCAACCATGATGCACGTGTAGAATCTCGTGAAGGCTTCCTGATCCAATCTGCAGTATATGCTGTATCTCTTGGTATGTAACTCGTCTATTATCTTGAATCAAATTTTTCACTGCTAACACCGTCAAAGGGTGACCACTTCTTTCTTTATCCCCCAAAGTTAGCCGACTGAGCTTAAATTTATTATACCAACGATACACGGTTGCCTTAGAAGGGCCTTCATCTATGAATGCCACTTGAAGTCTATCGTACGATTCGTCTGGTTTCAGGCGACACTTAAAATCGTAAAAAAATCATAACGCGAAAATGTGAACTATTTTTACTTATAAGTAATCATATTTTTAAATATATTATAACTGGCCAGTCTCACATATGGTACATAAAAACCTTTTCGCGCAATACTTTCTGAGTGACCTGGTATATATACATACAGACATCGTTAAAAAAAATCATACAACATTTAAAAATGCTTATATTCAGCAGTGGACAGTTAAAGACTGATATAATAACAATAATTGGTTTTCCTAATTCTGAAATCCACTCATCCAAGCGGGAAAAAGTTAGAAGTAAATAAATAAGTTTTTTTTTTTATACTACAAAGGTAGCAAACAAGCATACAGCCCGTCTAATGGTAAACGGTCACTATAGCCTATGGATGTCTGCAACATTAGGGGTGTCACGTGAGCGTTGCTGACCCTGAAGAAACCTTAATATGCCCTTTTTGAAAATCCATACTGTAATATCTAGGGCCTATAAAAATTATATGCATATTAAACAGTGTTGCTATTAATTATACATATACATTGTTGTAGGACATGACAAAATATTAATTCTACAAGCGGTAACATGCCAACTTGGGTCATTAGTGGCTACTGTTTAAAACTTTCTGTCATGCGCAGAACAACCCTGCAACAGGGGTTTGTGTATTCATTCATCCCGCAATTCCCAGTAGATTGCTATTCGTCGAGAGATACACACCTATTTGATTTTTAGCTAAAAAGTGTATAAACTTTTACGACTCCTTTATACACAATCTTTTTTTTTATTTATGTGACATGTTTTGTGATTTTCTTTATGTGTATATAAGGTAATAATAAATGCAGTGTACTATAATAATAAATATGGATTAAACCGTACCGCATTTGTTATTGAAATTGGAAGAAAAAAAAACTAAATTAAAAAAAATGTGAACTCGCAGTTATGGAACGTGATGGCAACGGAGACGAGAGTTTTGATATTTTATTAATTCCATCACGGGATACGTTTATAAATGGAAGTGAATATTTGGACTTGCTTTGTTTTAATTCAGTTGCCATTGATATTTGTAGTGAAAGGAGAAAACGCGGCAAAAAGTAAGTAGATTTAGTTTGTTCCACTAACTCCCTTCATCGACACATACATGTGTAGTGTATGTTCATATGGTATTTTACAATTTTACATAAAACTTTTTATTTAGTGGAAGAATTTGAAGCGGTCATATACATTTGGATAATACTTGTTTAAAAAAAAAATACTTATATACTACATTTAGTAATTTTAAACAGTCGATCAAAAGAAAAAAAAATATTTTGAAGTTTACTGGTGTGCCTAGTTATACTTTTGTTTTTCTTTTTTGCTAAAGGTTCAATTCAAACACAATAAGTTTAAATTATAATTTATACACATAAAATATCACAAATTTTATCAACCAATTAAAAAAAAAGGAGATTCTCAATTTGATTGTATTTTTTGTGTTTGTTATCTCATACCTCTGTTAGTTCTAAATCGATTTGGAAAATTATTTTTTTTATATGTAAAGATATAACATAGTCATTCACAGCAGAAATAAAATTCATAGGTACCCAACAACACACAGATGACAGCAAGGATGACACTCAAACTAAAGATTATGAACATAAACCTTTAGAATTCTTAATAAATCGCAATAAAAATGAAGCAACAGACTACTTGTTACCACCCGTTTTTAATGATCACGAGGAAAACGAAGATGACGAAGAAGAGGAAAGCACTTATTTAGATTATTATGACCCTAAAGATTCAAATTATAAAGACTCTCCTGATTTAGCGACAGTAACAAGTAATGTAAATAAAGAGAATCTACCATTAGATGATAAAATACCCGTGCACACAGCGAAGGACAACTTGCCAATATTTTTATTGGAGCCAGAGAATACATATGTTTTTAAAAATAAACCAGCAACGTTGCAATGTCATGCTGCAAATGCTTTAGAAGTGAGTAAAATTGATTTTATTTACAAAAATATTATTATGAATTAAGCATAAATCAACAATTGTTTGTTTATTTATTTTTTGTTTCACTTATAGAAGTTTTAAAAATTTACACTAGATATTGTGGCCTTACAAAACTTTAATAGTTTTGTAGTTATTTATCATTCGAGAGAAATATTTATTTTTTATGTATATTTAAAAAAAGAAAGGGCTCTATTTATGAAAAATAAATTTATAATAATGATTAAATGTTCATCTTTTACATATATAATTTGTACCGAAACAATTCAAACACTGCAGCAAAAAATACTCTAGGGAATGTTTTTATTTATCATTCAGGAAATGGCATTCTAACGTACAATTTATGTTTAAATGTAATTAACTATATAAATATTTTGACACAAGTAAATTATATCATCTAATATCATTATCATATTAATTATTATTTGTCCATTACTGAAATAGATCTTCTCCATAGACTGTCATAAGAAACGGTCCCAAACGGCATAGTTCCGGCATAGAATCAGCCACCCCTTCTTTTTCCGGGGTTTTGTAAGAGACGATTAAGGAACTTATAATTGAGAGATGAACAGCAGTGTTCATCTTAAAACAACACCAAAAGTCTAACTGCGGTTGCCAACCCGTCTGCCAAGCGTGGTAATTATTGCCGAAAAACACCTGATAAGTAATATTATCTATATTTAAGGTTTATTTCAAATGCAACGGCGTGAAAACTCAACCTGATCAATTTATATTTGTTGATCCACAATCCGGAGTAAGAGTGATCGAAGTGGAGCATAAAGTGACCAGAGAGAATGTTGAGGAGTACTTCGGAAGTGAGAAGTACCAATGTTCTTGTTTCGCATGGACCAGTAGAGGACATATTAGAAGTCAGTCAGCCACCATCGAGCTTGCTTGTAAGTGAGTTATGGGAACTGTTTAAAAAAAAAACTTTGTTTTGGAACTAATTTATAAAAAACGGTCTCTAAAATCTATTTTTAAAATTTATTTACAGTAGGCAGGATTTACTAATATACCTGTAGTTTCAATTGAATTCTTATTTAGTTATTATACAATTGAATAATTGATTTAAACTCATATTATATTATTCTGTTACACAATACAATTATTTTGATAAATTTTCCGCAACCAAAGTTATCCACTTATATTTGAATTAACTTATTAAACATGTTTTTTAGAGAATCTGTAACTATCACAGTATCACAATTTTGTCGCGTATTGCAATATACATATTTTACAGAACTTTTTCAAATTCAAATATCAATATTAACACTTTATGTATTTGAATATAAAATTCATTTAACGTGTGGAATATTTCACCAACTTCTTTTTAAATAATTTAAAAATATCATTCACGTCATCGAGTTGCTTTTAAATATCTATTTGCAAAAGAGAACACAATGAGCTCCGTAAACTTGTCTAGCTTGAATCGTCTTTTGTAGCATATATCCATTGCCTCTTGACTTGAAGGCAAAGGAAGTAGAACAATTCTGTCTCAGTCCTTAAAGTTAATAAGATTTAGTGTTTGTCCAGATATAAAGAAGCACTTCACTTTGGCCCCTGAAACGCAGCTGGTCAAGCAGTACATGCCAGCTACCTTCCGATGTGAACCTCCACCTGCTGCACCATTTGCTCAACTGTATTGGCTTAAAAACGGTGCTCCTGTGGTGGCTGATGATAATGTGCAGATTTCGAAAGAGGGTGATCTGCTTATCAAGCGGGTGTCTTTGTTGGTAAATTTATCATTGTCTATTATAATTCTGATAATATTCAGGTATGAAAATTAAAATTATTATATTTGTCCTTTATGTTAATATAATAAAATTGATATTAGTTTCTTTGTGTTTTCGGTCAAACAAATATCTTTAGTCATAGAAAATAAAATATGACAATTAAATTCTAACTTTTTCTTTATTGAAAAGACTAAGGTGCTAGATGAGTTTGTAATTACATCTTTTTTCATATGTCTGAATTAGTTTTTTTTTTTTATACAACGTAGAATGGCAAACGAGCTGACGGCCTACCTGATGGAAAGTAGTAACCGTCGCCTATAGACACAAGCAGTACCATGGACATAACAGAGTATACTGTTTCACCCATGATACCCCCCATGCGTTGCCATTCCTGAGGACTCGGATGTTATTTCTCTGTACCCAGTAAATTCACGCCATATTCCACCCTTAAAACCGAAACACAGCCATGCAAACACAACTGCTTCATGGTTGAAACACGAATGGGACAGAGGTACCCAAGCAATCGACTTTTGTACAAAGTCTCCCTCTGGTCTGAATTAGTACTTTTACCATTTGAACTGTTTCATTTTTTGATGTTTTGGAAACTAAATAATTTTACCATTATAAAAATTTAAGTATGTTTTTAGGATATGGCAAATTACACGTGTGTGGCAGAAAATTTAGCAGGAAAAAGAATATCGGAACCAGCTCAATTAAAAGTTGTTGGTAAGTGGATTGCATACTGTAATCATATAATGTTTGTTCAAATGTTGTAATTAATATAATTAAATATAATGTTTTTATTAATTCAATAATCAGCGCTCAGTTTTTTAAAAAATGGAAATAGAGCGTAGGAAATGTAAAAAAATAAAAAAACTGATTAAATCAAAATCTAGGATCTAGAAATGTATGTTTGAACACTAAGATGAAATTTCACTAAATAAATTTAATTAGTGATGAAATCGCGGGAATAGCAGTAAAAATAACTTAATTTCATTCAACAATGACTTAGTCTATAATGACGTTACTTTTGCTAGTAAGCTATTTGTGTATACAATCAGTAAACGGAGGTTGGACTACATGGTCGGCATGGAGTGACTGCTTCTGCAATTACGAGAATCGGGAGAGGCGCTCCGGGAGACGACGGGAGAGGTCTTGTACTGCACCACCTCCTCTTCACGGTGGGCAACCATGTATGGGCCCCGATGAACAGAAGACTCAGGATTGTTTGGATTGTGATTTAGGTATTTCACGTCATCACTTTTCGACTGTAGTATATCAAAGAGGTAGGAAACAAGAATTGACATGAAGCAGGCATAATTTTATAAGAATAAAAAACATTCTTATACATGTATTACTATTTTTTGTCTTTTTTGTTTTGCCTGATGTTGTATAATACTCCTAATAATATTTGGGATGTTTGTCGTATGTATTGTTACGTACAAATTCCTTTATATAGTAAGAGATAGTGGTATGTAGTATATTAAATTTAATTTTAGAACCCAATAAATAAAATCAATTAATGTAAAATTAATTAAAGTATAAAAATATGAACTTTGATTTTACTTTCAGATTTGTATGTCGACGGTATAGATGGATTAGCTGACGACTCCTCGAGCATTTTATTAGGTAAGTTTTATACTCGTATTGCGCAGAGTCCTTCTAGATCTTTCTAACCTATTGCTATTGATTCTAAGCATTTCAATTTCTACAGTAATTATTATATTTATATACGAGTACTTTATTAAGAAATAGCTACCGGCAATCACCAATATTTAGTAAATAAAAATTCATACATTCATTCATATGAATTTTTACTATTGAAATGTGAATATACTATTAATTTAAAAAAAAATTAAAATTTATTATTGAAAAATTTTTACTCTTAGTGTCTTAATGATTTAAACAATCACGATAAAATTTGGTACGAAAAAAATACACATACTATATGGGAGGAGGACATAGGCTATTTTTATCCGGGTCACTGAACATATTCCAGTCACAAAGATTAGGTTGCGGGCAAAAGTTAACAGAAAATAAAATTGTATGAACTAGTGTGACCTGCTACATTACTAAAGATTCTCGATAAAGTGATAACATTTGTACATTACTCGTACAATAAATTTTTGCTATTTCTCTATAGGCACAGATCGTTGGTCGCAATGGTCCGAATGGTCGCCGTGTGACTCCGACTGCCTCCAAAGTAGACGACGACACTGCCTTAGTGTTACAAGGAAACCTTGCACTGGTGTTGACCACCAACTTGCTCAGTGTCCACTCTGTGTCAGGACTTCCAAGTCTGCGCTCATCAATGATGGTGAGTTTATTTCCTAGATTATATAGATTAACTACATAGTTCATTGAGAGCCAAAAACAGGCCAAAATTTAGTCATATATATACATCTCCATATTTATATATATACGTAATGCTTTAAAACTTGTTTACTTTTAATTAACATATCAAATTTTCAATTATGAGAAGTTTTCTATGTTGAAACAGTATACATGCGAAACAATGTTTCCATATAACATTATGTCACCTAAAACAGCATAAGAGAGGTGACTAAGGTAATTTAATATATGAAAATAAAGATAATGATTATAGAATAAGAGAAATATCAGCAGTACAAAATCGCATAAAAGTGTAAACATATTTGTACATAATAAAATTTCCTTTTATTCGTAGTAACTCCTTTTAAGTTTGATAAATGAAAATCCCTTAAAACTCAGCCTGTTTTAAGGAATTCTTTTGCATACTCAGCCCAACTTTTATCATCATATTGATTGTCATTATCATTAGAAAACTCAGCGTTATACTTTATATAAACTGAATACAGACTCTTTGAATTATATTCTGAACTAGAGAACTTACTGAACTATGTTTTAAAGCGTGTTGTGGAACTAGTTTCTTTCATGTACATTGTAAAGTGTATGCATTGTGTTGTATAAGAGTTCGATATTTAATGTATGCAGTAGCTAACTTTAGTTCACTGTTCTAGTTCACAAGTACCTTCATAAATCATTTTGATTCTGTGTTATCTAAAATGAAAACTGAGTACGACAGTTGCTGTTCCCAAATTATCATCGTTCGCAAGTTGTTTAACTTGTCAGGGAGGTTTGTTTCAGTTTGGGCATAGTGTCAAAACAAGATTGTACCTTAGCACTAACAATTAATGTTACAAACTAGCTTTGAAAATAGAAAAATCAATGTAATAGACTATTGCAAAATGTACCTATATCAGATTTTAAGCACACCTTTAGATATGCAAATAAATGTGAAAATTATATGCAAGGTATTGAAGTAGTTTTAGTATTTTCCCAATGAACGACCAAGTGATACCGAAACAAACATATAAATAGATAGATAAAAATTATATATTAATGAAGTATTTTTGCCGTAACATTTGTATGGAGACACTGTATAGTCTAAGATCATATATTACACAAATTGTGTCCATATATTGAGAGTTTCTGTACAAAACGACAGTGTGTACGACTTCACACTGTAGTGAGGTGATTTTGTTTGGATTACTGGATTCCAGGAAACGGAGCGTTACCTAATTCCCGTCTCTTATAAACTATAAATTAATTAAATATATATCGATTATACAATGCTCAATTATTTTGCAGGATCATCATATTGGCCACTTCTAATAGCTTTGTCAATTGCATTTCTTATATTTGTTGTTAGTGTTATATTGGGAATCAAATATATGAAGATAAAGATGACTGAAAATTCACCGTATGTTAAACCTCCTTCAGGTAAGATATAAGGGTACTGACCTTGGATCTTCTCTTGTGATGTTACAAATATTATGCATATTATGTAATACAGTAACATTACTGTATTACAATATTACAACTCAACGTATTCACTAATGTAATACTTACAGATTTATGAATTGTCTCTTTGTATCTCTAATAACATATATATTTTTTAATTTTTATAAACAACAAATAAACTCGGACTTCGATATGGGATTAACAAAATTAATACGAGACCAATATAGGATTAAACCCTATAAATTGCAAAATAACTATCAGAACAGGTTTAGAATCTGTGAAATTATTGCGTGACATTTTTTTTATAAACAAAATAACATACATGAGAATTAAAAAATGTATGAAATCGCTCTCAATTTAAATCAACAATCTCTGTTTGTAGGTACAAATTATTTTGGAAATGTGATAAAAAGGACGTTAACAAATCAACCAGATTTAACTATACACGAGGAGTTTCACACAATTGATTCGAGACGGACCCACAGACATATGAGCACGTCCACTAATACACGCAACGAACATCTGTATGAAGTACCACAATTGGCTAACAGGTAACTTTTAAGTGTACGATCAGTTACTGGTTATTTGATTAGAAATATTTCGTTTAATTTCGCTACCATTAGTATGTGTGTGACTGCCAACACTCTAAAATTGACCATGTTCAACAAATTTCCATATTAGCTATCAATCTCTGACTGTTATTTTGTCCACGCACGCTTTGCGTCACGTGTTCCATCAATAAACGAGACATCTTCAGGAAAATTATTAGATTGCTGCTCGAAGCCCAATATTAATCGTTCGGTACCCATACTGCGAAACACTAGAATAAATAGTGTTAACTGAATGGTTTGAGATACGACTGGTAGTTCCAGAGATTATAGCGTTCAAACGAACAAACAAATTTTATTATCATATATTTATATAAATAATAAAGTTTAAAATTAATTATTCTAGATTTTAAAGTCTTCGAAGGCTTCCAATCAGCTAAGTAACTCATGGAAGATCTTAGGTACCCTTACATTATAATCTTAGCCGATTATTTTATATTGTTGAACTTTTATTTCAGCTACATCTCCCCAATCGACCACGAGGTAAGGCCCGAGCGCCGCAGCGAACTTGATCGGTTCGCTTGCAAGGACGCCATCGAGTCAGACCGATCTGACTCTAGTTGCTTTATGAGCTGTGAGTTTTTGTGCAGCGTTGCTTTTCGCCTCTTTTCAAAACATATTTTTTGGTATTATTCGTTCAGAAAGTTTGCTATATGTTTAAGATCCACTTTCTAAATAAATATTATAATTTTGTTAATAGCAAAACTTTTTTGGAAAATGCTATTTTAAATAGCAGAAGTGATAAGGATAATATCTTTGTTTTTATGTACTGCTACAAAGGGAAATGATAATTACAATATAATGTAATACCTAGTGATTAATGGTGACATGATGAAGTGACATATTAAATTAAATTTAATAATGCTTTAACATTTACGATTTTTATGATATAAAAAAATAGTTTTTGTATAAAGCAATGTATTATGCTTTTCGTATTGATTCTCTAGATTTATCCTGTAAGATTATATTTCAAATTATTTTTATTGTAACATGATAATAAATGAATTTATATTATTTTACTGGCGAACTCCCATTTTTAGTGCTTTATAAATAAAAGAAAAATAGTACAAATGAATATATACTTTACTTCAATATATTAATGTCAAATTTACATTTCCAGCGGGGTCGTCATATGGCAATGAAAGTGTAGATATGACACAATCGTTAAGAAACAATGCATCAGTCGATTCAAAATTCGTAAACCCCAAGCATATTGAAACTGCCACTTCTAGAATAATATCGAGCGAGGGTGGGTTGTTAAATCTGGACAAATGCGGTGTAAGCCTATTCGTGCCAGACGGGGTCGTGGATAAAAGTGAAGAGTTATTCTCTATAGAGGTCACAGACGAAGATTGGAATAGGCCGACGTTGCAGCAAGGTATGACCCATTTTGTTTTTGTTTATAATAATTCTAAATTTATTATTCCACTGTTCTTATTGGTCAAGAAATAAATCATGCTTTTGATGAGTTTATTTTAGAAATTTAGTTTATTTAGAGTTTATTTTAGATATTTAGAAGTTTTAGAAAATATTAATTATCCATTTTTAATGTAGTGCCAATAGCCTCTTCAACCGACTTAAACCAGGTTGTCTGTAAGAGATTGCTTTAGCGATAAGGCCGCTTTTTGTATATGCACATTCTGTATAAATACTCCTTGTATACATTTCTATTGTGCGCAATAAAGAGTTTATTATTATTATTAAAAAAGAAGGAGGTTTTCAAGTCAGTTGTCTTTTTTTTTGTTTGAAGTCCATCAGTTATAAGCTGTTTGAATTTTTGTTTTACTTGTAAGGATATGTTTACAGGTTGGTTACATAGAAATAGTATCAAAATCTGTTTAGTACTTTAATTTTAAAGTCACAATAACTGGTTTTGCAATAATCGTTTTTTTTATGGAATTTATTTATATTTCATACAAAATGTTTTATTAATCAAATTGATGATAAAATTATGGTCAAGTAAATGATTTTTTATTCTGTGGAAATATTATGCGCACCATAACATTTATCATAGGAAATTATGTTATTGTAAATATAAAAGTGAGTTTGTTTTTCGTTTATACATAATATTTAATATATTATGTGTAAATAATAAGTATAATTATTATTATTAGTATAAAATATATGCTGTTAAATTTATTTTTTTAACCATTTTTCCTTTAATTTTGAACACGAATTATATCACCTTGATTTATTTCACCAATAAAAAAAAAGGAAAGAAGGGTTAAAATTTAGATAGGTATGAATACTTAATCTTGTTGATCATAAAACTGGGTTAGCAAATAGGTCAAACCGTATTGACATTAGCTATTGTAAGTCGGGTCGCGACGTCTAAAACAGGTATATATTGTACACTGTGACCTGAATAGTGAAATGTCATACTTCACCTGGATATAGATAATTCAGACTTAACTATTCGCCGACAGAGTTATAGTTATTCGTGAACCGTATAGCCGAATAGTTATTACGGGCTTATGTATTGCAATCTCAGGCTTCAAATTTTTTTTATACAACTTAGAATGGCAAACAAAGCTGACGGCCCACCTGATGGAAAGTGGTAACCGTCGCCTATAGACATGAGCAGTACCATGGACATAACAGAGTATACTGTTTCGCCCATGATACCCCCCATGCGTTGCCATTCCTGAGGACTCAGGTGTTATTCCTCTGTACCCAGTAAATTCACGCCATATCCCACCCTTCAAACCGAAACACAGCCATGCAAACACAACTGCTTCACGGTTGAAACACGAATGGGACAGAGGTACCCAAGCAATCAACTTTTGTACAAAGTCTCCCTCTGGTAAATCAAATGCCAGTCTTGGGGAATTCTTTAGTAGTATTAATATTTTTTTTAATGGATGATAATGAAATAGTGACTCTGCCTGCGCTATTGGTATACACTGGCATGGCACCAGTGAGGGGCGATAGGTGAGAATGGAAGCAGGTCAGTTAGCTTATCGTGACGAATACAAGAAGTATTAATCACAATGGTTTCCAGGGAGCACCGCGTGGAGGTCGACCTGACAAGGCTTGATAGCAATGGGACCATTAGTCCACATTAATAACAATCCCTTTCTCCCTAGTATTAATATTGAAATTGCCGTATCGATCCCGGCATAGAATAGGCCACCCAATCCTTTCCCGTGGGTGTCGTAAAAGACGACTAAGGTAGAGCGAGGGATGGGCAACAACGTCCCTCTTAAAACATCTCCAAAGCCTAACTGCGGTTGCTAATCCGCCTACTAAGCGTGGCAACTACTGGCAAAACCCCTCAAAGGGGCGGATTATGTTCAGCAGTAGAGAGTTAAAGTCTGATATGATGGTGATTAATATTGGAATGCATATGTATATGATTACATATTTACGCCTGTATATAAGCTGTTTTCAAGAATATAAAAAGATGTTAAAATAATTCGATGTACAAATATATTTGTACCATGAAGGTAGCAAATTAGCATACAGCCCGTCTGATAATAAACGAAAACTGTAGAGTATGGACGCCTGTGTAACGCTGTGTGTGTGTGTGAGGTGTCATGTGCGCGTAAAATACACTTTTTGAAGAAGATACATGAAATGGCAGCGCTTGAGGGGTATCATGGGCGAAACAGTATACCCTGTTATGTCCATGGTACTGCTCATGTCTATAGGCGACGGTTACCACTTTCCATCAGGTGGGCCGTCAGCTTGTTTGGCATTCTAAGTTATATAAAAAAAATACATGAAATTAAATAATTTTGTTTAAAGAATATTGGACTAATATGAATCATGTCAAGCAAATAATATTTAGGTCTTTTTTATTAAAGTTACCACTGCGCAATTTTTATAAAAAAAAAATTGAATTTAGAATAAATAGGTCTAATTAAAAACCATTTTACACAATTTCATAGAAAATGTAGTAAATTAATAATAAATTTAGTAAAATAAATAGATAAATAAATGCTCTTTATTGTTTCCTCCGTAAAATATATTAAATGAGATTGCCGTATCTAAATTTAGTTGCAAGCATATCGTTGTATTTCCCAGGTGAAACACAGCTAAGCCCGGTCGTGCGATGCGGACCGAAGAACTTTCATTTCGGAAAGGGGGTGGTCCTCTCCTTCCCACATTGCGCTTCCCTGAAGAACAGCAGTTGGTTACTATCGATTCTGCAGAAACCCGATGAGATCAACTCGACTGAATGGCGGAAAGTTTTAACTCTCGGCCAAGAAACACCCGGGACCCCGTTGTTTGCCCAAGTCGACCCCGCCAAAGTTTACCTCGTATGTGAGTTCCTGAGCGACTTTGTTTTAGTCGGCCGAAGTTTCACCAGTCTAGACGCCAAGTTATTAAAGATTGCTCTATTCATCTCCAAAAGAATGGACGATAATTATTATAGTTTGAAGGTTCATGTGTTCAACGATACGCCTCACGCCGAGTACGATTGTTTGGAAGATGAACGGAGGGTGGGATGTACTCTGCTTGCCGAACCGAAAGTAGTTTGTTTCCAGGAGAGTTGTTCTGATTTATGCTTCAATATTAGGGATGTGGGGGAGGGATGGAAAATACATTCGGGTGGTAAGTATCAGGAATTACCATATTCGGATATTTGGAATATGGGTGTTAGATCACTGCATTGTATATACGTTCTGCAACAAACAGACTGTATTAACCGTTTGGAGTTGAACATGTCTGTTTATCAAAAACAAAAGCAATCAAACTCTGTTAATTTCAATCTGAAAACGAATGATTTGAATTCGAATTCATGTAATAAGCGTTTTAGTTGTTCGAGCGTGGAAATGAATTGTACCGTTAATATTCTTGAAAACCCTTTCAATTACTCGTCGCTGTCTAAAAATGAGGGCCGTTATAATTTCGTGTTCAAAAACGATGCTGTTTACAGGAGTAACTTTAGCACTGACAATAATTATAAAACAAATGTACTGACTAAATCTGATAGGGTAATACTATGCAAATTATTAGATTCTCAGTCGTCCAAAGGCAACGATTGGCGGTTATTTGCCGAGAAATTGAAATTGGATTCATATTATTACTATTTTTCTAACACGTGCTCACCGACAGAGAATATTTTGAATCTATGGTTGTGTCGTAACAACGATGTGAATATGTTGGTTAATCTGTCTAGAATATTTAGAGAAATGTCTAGAATCGACTGTGCTACCGTCGTGGAACGGAGATGTTGTACGAATTGAGTTATTGTTCTATTTTTTTTAAGATAACTTTACGGCTTTGGAGTTATGCAATAGTGATGTTCCATAAGTTCAGTGTGGGTGGCAAATCTGGTCACTACAACTATAGAAAATATATATAACATGTTATTTATCAATATCAACTATAATAGATTTACTTTTACATTATGCTTATAATTCAATATGATGTTTTAAGTAAAAACTGCCAAAATATCAGTTGTACCACGCTACAATACGCAGAATGTAAGTTAATAAGCGTGTAATTGTAAGAAATTGCAATCATCAACATTGTAAAAAATTTCAATTTTATTTTGTTCATTTTAGTACGAATACCTTTCTGCCTTTATAGGTTTAAAAATCTTTGGTGAGTTGTACCTAATGTTTACGTTCAGTAATATTAGTTAAATACCTATGTACAGTGTCCGACCTAGTAACTTTGCCGTTTGGGGCAAAAATATTATTTTCTTCTATTTTTAACTGTCAGATGCACTCAGTTTTGCTACACCTTATCATTGCTCTTTTGTGTATTTGCCCGACTTGTTCCCCTGGATCGGGCCCTGTCTCTATATATTTACACATAGTAATTTATAATGTAAGAAATATATAATGCGTTTTCAATACTAGGACTTGATCACGTGTTTTTAAATATATATGTTTGCCTATTTCTAGTATGTTTCTATCAGTATGAAGTGCTTAAAGGTTTATAGAGTATGTTTCGGAAACATTAGTTGTATATAATTATATAACAGATGTATTGTTTAGATAAGAGAATCTATATTAAGGTAGCGATTATAAACTTTTTAATTAAACTAACATTTGGAGTCGAGGTGTTTTTAATTTACTCCTGAAGTAGTCGCTTATTAAAATGGTGTCCAGTGAAAATATAATAATGGCTAAAAATAGAAATAAAATAACATTATGATTATACTAGACTAGCAGTTTTCCGTAATTAGTATATTATACCATAAGTGTGTTAATTTTCGCTACAAACCTACTCGTGTACCAAATTACATTCAAATCCGTTCAGCCTTTTCAGTGCGATTGAACAACAAATATTCAAATATCATTACCTATTAAATCAGGCTTTCGTCTGAAAGAATAAAGAAATTAAGAAATGATAGTAATATGAATAAGTATTATTTCTCTGAATTGACCTAGTACTAACTAAGAATAGAATGTGCCACTACTCCTTTTGATCCTTAGAATATCGTAAGACATAATTAGGTAAATGAAATACAATAAACTAGTGTAAAAAGAAAGATAACTTGAATTAAACCCTCATACAAATCTGCCAATGCAACATTAAGTTATTATAACTCTCTCGTAAAGAGAGATACGTATCTAGAATAGTAAGACTTATATTATTATGATGTAATTATAAGCTATCACAAAATTTTAGTAGTATATATAATTATTATAGTAACGAAATTAATTAATCATGAATTAAAATATTCTATTCTTCTATATTTTATGTCCTGGCATGATCACAACGTGGTGCAATCCACGTTGAAACTTCGGCAATAAAAAAGCAGGTATGTTACCTAAATACCTGCTTTTTACCTATAATTTTTTATCGCGTAAGTCCCGATAATGTATTGAAAATATTATATTTTAACTTTCAATCTCTCCTTCTATGGCATGTTATAAACTTATTCTTCATTCCATAATTTCAATCCGGCAAATCTGATTATAGACGACTATTATTCACGCTAGGGTTGTAACAAATCATAGCGGTATAAAATATTCAGTCGAGATGTCGTCGCTAAATAATTTGTTAGTTCGCCGACTACACCGCACGACATCCATTCCCACGTATCTGACCCACATTCTAGGTACTCAAGTATTAACGCTAGGGTTGTGCCGAGCGAGTCAGACGATTGCATTGTTTAATAATTGAGACCACGTTCCAGCAGCGCTCCTTATAGTATAATGGTCTAAGTTAGGAACGGTCGGCGAAATATATAAAGAGTACTGTGTATATAACAAATAAAATAAAAAAAGGACTAGCTTCTTTGCCTGTCCAGACAAGAATAAGTATTTTCTATCCTTTATAATGAATGACTTTAAATATTTGCCCGGCTGACGTCCCCTAGATTGGAACCTAGATTGCTAGTGAATAACAGCGGTAAATATAAAAAGGTACAAGTGAACATAATAATTTCTTCTTGATTTATTCCTCTGTCGCTCATCGTTTGAACCATACATAACAATATCACGAGTTTCTATTTCGTTCTATTAAAGTAACCCCTTAATAAAGACGAAGGTATTATGTGAACGTTTGAAATTTCGCGGCCGTTATTTGAAACGGACGCAGAAGGCCAAATTGAAAACGTGCAATATTCACTGCGTGCAACTTTATTCAATTGTTATTTGGTTCATATTTCAAAGTTTTCGAGTACACAGTTGTCCATTGAATGTCTACAAAATTCTTATTTACTGATTTTGTGGGAGCTTATTGCTACCTGCACTTGCAGAATTCACGTATGCACTACTTTTTATAATAATAGTCAATAAATCTAAAACTAGAGTTGCTACTGTATGATAAATATGATGGCATATTAAAGAACTTTATTTGTGTATTACAATTTGTGTATTATTTGTGTACCGTGTAGTCCCAGTATAGAATGTGCTACCACTTCTTTGCCGTGCTACACCCGTGGGTGTCATAAGAGGCGACTAAAGGTACTACTGGCAAAATCTCCTTTATGGGAAAGGTATGTTCAGCAGTGGACAGTTAACGGCTGATATGAATATGGATGATCTATATTAAAGATTTTAAAATACAATTTATCTATATGTAGTTTAACCTCAATTTGTATACTTACTGTAATTCCTTAAATTTATAATTGGGAATTTAATTATGTAAAGTACGGTAGCCTGGTACGACCTTCATAACACACAATTTTTGGGGGAAAGGGATTGTTAGCAATGGAGTTTCACAGCCCCATTGCTAGCAATATACCCTATTAGGTCGACCTCCACGTGGTTCCCCTTGGAAATCATCGTGAACAATTCTTGTTGAATTCGTCACGATGGGCTAACTGACCTGCTTCACATTCATCCTATCATCCTTCACTGGTGCCCCGCCGGTGTATACCGAGAGCGTGGGTGGGGTTACCACTACATTATCACCCACTAAAAAAACACAAGATTTTCCTAGCCAGAGGACACTGTGAATCAATATGTAAAAAAAAAAAAAATAAAATAAAAACAAATAAAATGGATATTAAAAATTAATAGGTAAGTATAAATGAATAATATAAAACTTTTTAATAGTACTGGATTAAGAAAGATTTGCGAATTAAACAGTTTTAATGAAAATGCTGATGAAGATCTAAGTAATATAGCTGATGCTGATAGCACTTAATTATATGACTAATTGCGATCCAGTCTAATACGGAATCGAGCAGGATTTCCTCCGAAGACAAAGAAGTGTTAACTCATTAAAAATGACCGTTCGACTGTGTAATCGGGATTTATGGGATGATTATTGATTTATTTTCAATCGTTCGAATGGAATCCTTATTAATCGGATTATTTATTACTATCATCTAAATACGAAGCCTTCAAAAATTTTAAAAATAATCTAATCATGTGCTGTAATATATTTTTAAGTCATATTAGAAAATGATTATTTAATACAAAATTCTTGTTGTTAAATTTTTTATTTTTACCTTTATTATTATGTTATATAACTAACTGTTTTCCTGCGTAAATTAAAGTTTAAAGTATGTGTATTTTTTTTTATACAACTTAGAAATGATGGAAAGTGATAACCGTCGCCTATAGACATGAGCAGTACCATGGACATAACAGAGTATACTTAGTATAATTAGAATGTAATCTATTCGTGTTATAAATTTCATTCAAATCTATTCAGTAGTTTTTGTGTAAAAGAGCAATAAACATTAATCAATACATTATCATAAACTATCGCGTTTATAATAAAGAGTAGGAATAATAAGATGGTCTTGTTTCGCTTTGTATTTCAATATTACAAAATACACTTATTTATTTAACTCTTTATGACACCAAAGACCTAAATATATATTCGTACACACAATGATAATTAGAATATTCAAGTGAAATAATAATAATAATATACTTTATTACTCAGACTACAATTTGGTCCATTTTGTTAGTAACAGTTTTCATACAAACTATGTTAGTAAAAAAGAAAAGCAAATTAATTAAAGCAGTTCATTCAGATGTGACCGAGCCGACTAGATCAGCATCTGAATGAAATGCCCAATTATAGGCGAGTTATATTTTTCGCCTATTACTTTTAGAATGCTGTTGGTGCTTGTTCTAACCCTGTGCAGCAATGATGCAGTTCTCTTTCTCCTTATAGCGTAGTAATCATACATCAAGAACAGCAGCATTAAAATACTAATTGAAATATATAAAATGGTACAAAAGGAGTTCTGATGATCACTATGGCAATCTCTTACAGACAACCTTTGGTGAAAGGAGACCAATAATAAAAAGTGGGTAGGGGGTGCAAAAGTAAATTAGTGATTTTTACGTGCATAAAATATGTACAAAAACTTGTATTGCAAAAAAATATCAAATTCATATTATTTATTAAACTACTTATTATAACAAATATTAAACAATACATGTACATACATACATATATAAATATGTACATAGCACACATAAGGAAATATGACGAATTTAGCAGCGTCCCTCTTAAAACATCACCAAACTGCAGTTGCCAATTCACCTTCCAAGCAATATGATGATGATAGGGGAGACATTTGTCAAAAAGATTCCATATTTTTGTTTTACAATAGGCATTTCTATATTGGGAAAAAACGATGACAATTCCGGGAAAAACGATGACACTTCCGTTGAATGAGCTCTTATAGTAAAATAGAAAACAACAAGAAAAGTTCAATGTTTTAGTCAAAATAGACGCTCTATCTAAATGATATTCATCTATGGTTATAGGGTCCTATTTCCAGGTTTCTTCCCCATATTTTGATGTCTATTAGAAATTATTGATGTTTAAAAATGGCTTTTAAAAGTGACAATTCGGAAGCGATTCCAGTATAGTGAACAAGTAAGAGAAAAGTAACCCCAAGCCACTGTACCTCCACGTTTAAAAACTCTCTAGAAGTGGAAGTGAGAAGGGCGTACTAATTGGAGGGCACTTACTTCAAGAGCACTTGCGTTTTCTGAACAACGCTTTGCTGAACCTATGATGTAAGGTTTAGTTCTTTAATTTTATACATTCTTCAGTTGAATCGAATATTTATGTCAGTATATAATCAATTAGATTTTGCTCTAAAGTATAAAATGGCAAATTCGATCTTTTTAAATTTGAAAACAAAAAATATTTTTTTTATACAATTTAAAATGGCAAACAAGCTGACGGCCCATCTGATGGAAAGTGGTAACCGTCGCCTATAGACATGAGCAGTACCATGGACATAACAGAGTATACTGTTTCGCCCATGATACCCCCATGCGTTGCCATTCCTGAGGACTCTGGTGTTATTCCTCTGTACCCTGTAAATTCACGCCATATCCCACCCTTCAAACCGAAACACAGCCATGCAAACACAACTGCTTCACGGTAGAAACACGAATAAGACAGAAGCAAGAAGACAAGCGATCGACTTTTGTACAAAGTATTTAAATAATACATATTTCCATATCAATTCGCAATAATTGTCAAGTATCTAATCACAAAAGAGTTAGATAAAATATATAGGCAATCTGATTAGTCGATTTCATTGATATTCATTGGATCGTTGAAGTGTAATAAATAATGTGTAATATATACCTAAAAACAAAATGAAAATACTTTATATGTAATCTTTCACTTTTATGTTTTTTTA